TGAAAAAAAAACAACATTTTAGCTCGACTTTTCTTGTTTGAAAAAAAGAGAAAAGAATAGAGGTAGTGCAGTGCTACAGTCATGTAAACGTTGTCGCTGCCGTTCTTTAACTTTCTTTGTTAAGATTTGTTTAACCGCTTTTTTTTTTTCTTTTTGCCTTTAGAAAAAAAAATGTCGAGCGTTGCCACCGCCTGGCGATGGCTCTTGTGATTATCAGTTTCTACACAGTTATATTATCGTAATGGGTCTTAAAACATATTTTGAGACGTGATAGGTAATGTCTGTGAATATTTATTGTCTTTTTCAATTTCCCTCAAAATATCATTAATATGGAGGCGTGCTGCTTTAAAATGAAACGAGATTTCTTTCCATCAAAAGTAATGACTTCGCCTACATGGCCTAGGAACGCTTCTTTTTTTTTACGTATAAAGGTAATTAAGCGTAAATTTTCAAATGAATTTTTAATGAAGTTTATACATATATCATTTTATACAAATATATAAATTCGTAATACAAAAGCATGATTTGAACATTAAAATTGAGTGTATGAAGTTCAGTTATATTTGCACTGACTCTTATTTATACCCTGGGGCTATGCGACATATTTACCCTTCATGCAAACCCAAACATAGTTTTTTCGACAGCAGGGATCCCAACCACCTTTCCATCCCCACCCTATCAATCCATGCTGTTCCCTATAAAGGTTTTCTCCACTTGAAATTTTTAAGCACGGGAGGGATCCTATCAAACTGCCAAGGGCGCACTTTTTACTCCTTCAAAACGCACTATTTTTACTCATTTTTTAAAAACATGAAAAATTAAACAAACAAACATGAAATTATAAAATTTTAATTTTTTAATTAAACCATGAAGTTTTAAATAATGTCCAATAACTATCTGAATAAACGGGTTTAAAACCTTAATTTTTTTACAAACCCTTTTCCCTTTCTTTAAATTTCTAAAAATATGCATATACCAGTATACCAAATGTCCCTTCATTTAATTCTTAAAACCTACCGGCGTCCCCCAATTTTATCTCATCCAAACCAAACAGAGGGTTTAAACATGCCCAAACGTGAAATTTTAAAAAGGGGTAGTTTTTAATTTTAAATTTTTTTAACCCCCAATTTTTTTTAAAAAATTTAAAGGGATTAACCCCTTTATTATATTTGTCGGGTTATTAACATTATAGTTTACTATATATAAATTTTTAGTACCCAATTTTCTCTCTAGTAAAATAAATACAATAAATTTTTTTGTTCCCCCCATAAAAAATATCCTATTAACTATAAAAATTTAAAAAAATTCCCCAATAACACACCACCAAGGTCATTTTAATTGGGTCACAAATCAACTATATTTTTATATTTAACACGGGAATTAAACATTTAAATTAAAAACAAAAAATATCGTCATTTTAAAATTCCCCATTAATTTTTAATCAAAATATAATCCTTAAATTTTCTATTCCTTTTTATACGGGCTTTAAAATTAAATTTTCGGGAAATTAAAAGTTAAAAATTTTAAATAAATTTTTGTTACAATATATCTTTTCCCTTTAACAAAATTCATTTAGGCCTAAAAAATACTTTTATTAATCTAATTAAACCCCAAAAAAGGTAAAAAGTATCTTATGACTTTTTTTTAAATTTAAACATCTGAATTTTGGGATTCCATTCTTTTTTTTACATATTGGTTTTTGCCCCATCTTTTTTATAATATTTCTTTCAATAATGAAAATTTAAAAATCTTGTATTTTTTTTAAAAGAAATCTAGTATCAAGATTTTAATAATACATTTCCCATTCCTTTATTTATTTTTGGGCAAATTAAACTTATTTTAAAAGAAAAAATATGCAATACATTAAATATTTTTTAAAAATTTTTAAAATTAAAGAAAGTAAATAAAGGGTCTTTATTCTATAAAATTAAAAGGCTTTATTTTTGGGTTTAAAGCTGTAACACTTTATAAAGATCTATAACGGTTCCTTAAATTTCCAAAAAGGTTTTGGGGAACCCTTCGGGTACATATCAAACAATTAAAAGGGAAGGGAACGGTAAAAAAAGGATTTCATGTTTCAATTACATGGGAAAGGTAATTTGTTTCCGTCCGGGCTCCCCGGGTTTTAACGGGCCAAACGCTCTTTTTTTTTGGGAGCTAAGCGGCCCGGGTTTAAACCTTATGGGGCAGAAAAAATATAAGCAAATATGAAACAATGTTTTTACCAGAAATGAACTTTAATAGTTTAAAATCTCCCCCCCAAAAAACTTTTTATAAAAAACATATTATAAAAGGGCAAATCACGGGAAATTTAAATACCTAAATTTGAAGACAAAATATAAACTTGATAATAGATACATATTATATATACGGACTAAATCACTGTATAATTATGTTACCTCAATTGAAGACATTATATATGTGTTTGCATATTTAATTCGTCTGTAATGATGATTTCATAAACATATCGGCCTTAAAATACTGATAATATGGTTAATTGAGAAACTTTTTCATAATCGCTTAATAGTATTACTAGTATCACTTTCATTTTGAAATTGAACATAAACTTTATTGAATCCATTTAATGTCCCGTAATTTTAACTAAACTCTTTCTATGCGTCAATGGAAATTCTTTTACCTAGTATATGTTTATTATTCAAACATTGAAAGATATAACAAAAAACTAACAAAAACAAAAATAACAAAAGCAGCAGCAACAACAACAAAGAAAACGGTAACCCAATGTTACCTTAAACACATCTCACATGATCATACAGCCCTTTAATTTGAATCTAGGGATGACCGATTCGATCCTCGGGCGAGATGATATTTGCACGTGACAATTGATCTCGAACACCGAGTCTTATTTTCTCTGATTAAAAAAAGCATTTGAGCCGCGTCATGACAAAACCAACTTAGTGGGTTTGCGACCAGCATGGATCCAGACCAGCCTCAGCGCAGTCTGATCAGGGTCCATGCTATTCGCTATCAGTTTCTCTACTTGTAATAGGGGTTGTGAGCGAACAGCATGGATCCTGATCAGACTGTGCGGAGGCGCGGGCTGGTCTGGACCCATGCTGGTCGCAAACCCATTATGTTGGTTTTGTCATGACGCGGCTCATTTGTTGTCGTTCACTTCCAAAGACATTGGTTATTTCTTGTATGTAATTCAAGAAAGCTGGTTGGTTGGAACATTCGTCGAGATATGACCAAAACATGCGTTAGAATTGGCATAAAAACTACCAATGAACTAGTCAACCAGACTAAATTGACAATGAATAATCCTGTTAATTTATGAAACGTCATGCTTTTATATGACACACATATCTTTTATTTCACTGGTTATGTCCGATTGCTTCTGCAGATAAATGTGAGACAATTCTGTTCATTTGAAGAGTAAACTTCCGCATAGATTGATAGATCAGTGCATTTTAAATATCAGGCGTCAAAATTGGCAACAGAATTAAAAAATGGAGTGTAAAACTGAATTACCAGCTACTAATTCGACCTCAAGGTGTGTTACTAGCTCTTTATGGATTTATTAAAAAAGAATATTTGTTGCCTAAGAAGCTTCATTGTTGTGAACTGTATAAGATGACGAATGTCCGACATGCAATAAACGGAATTGAATGTCAGAGATCGGGATGCAATTTGAATTTTACCTGATAAAAGGTAGTAGACTTGTGAGAGGTTAAAACCGGAGGTCTGAGACGTGAGTTACAGGAGTACTATCCGCTAAAATGATGATCCGAGGCGCACATCGTGCAAGTTTGAAAACAGCGAGGAATATAGTTAAGAAACAATGATATTAGACGACTTCGAAGCGAGAAAAGGAGTCAAAACACAAGTATTGAGGGTTCTAGAAGATTATATACTCAGGTACTCAGGTCAAGTACTCGAGTTAAAGGGGTTATGATTGCCGGCTACAGCCCAGAGACATGTGGAACAACGTACTAGGCGTAACGGGTAACCGAAGTCAAAGGTACTTATGATGAAATTCAGAAACATAAAGGAGGTTCGAGTTACGGTGATAAAAAGCCACAATATTGAACCTTCAAGAGGCAAGCAATGGCGAGCCGAGATTCCAGTAACGGCGTCGGGGCACTAGCACCGGTGATATCAGACCTTCTATCCGCAGATAACGGAAGTGACACAGAAGTAATGGATATCTGAGACCCAAGTATTGTGGGTCAGATACAACAAGAACGCATTTTGTAACGTAACTGAGGCTAGACCAGGATAAAGGAAAACTTATGTGAAATCTCTGGAAGATAGAGTGATAACTCTTGGACTTAAACCTTGCATGTTATACTGTATGGTTCTTCAGTCATGTATGCAGAATTTTAGTTTTGTCCCATCTTTCCTCCAAAATTAGTTTGTACAGTTAAACAACCTGTGCAATTGGAGATCCAGCCAGATTGGAAAATAACACGCCATGTTATAGTCACAAAGTGTGATTTGATTTAGAAACGAAAATCATATGCATCTAATTTTAAATTGATATAATAATGAATACTAGTTTAAACTAAAGCTAATACAAGATATATATGCAGTCATTGACAGATGTGCCAATACAGTGTATAGTACCTCAAAAACAGCTACTGAAACTATAACGAACGCTATAAGAGCATTTTTAAATTGCCCCTAGTTTGTTTCTGACTCACTGATGAATGAAATACTTCAGTAACTTCAGAACAAGCTAAAACGTATATTGATTTTTTTTTCGTATTTTATTTTTGGATCATCCATGTCAATATGTACCATGTATTCCAAAAGAACTCATTACAAATGTGGTTTGACTTCAATTGCAATTTCACGCTGAGTTACCAAACCGCTATTATGTATTATAGAAGACCTTTTTTCTCTTCAATTATTGTAGGATTATTTTTAACTATCAGAATTAACAATATTTCATGTTGTTGTCGTCTGCTACTAATATCGTCTATTGTTCGTCTGCTCCGATGTGAAATAAGCTTCCATTTTCTCGTTCTGTATTTCAGATTTAACCCTGTGATAGAAAAGTATGAACTCGCACTGCTGATGTTACTTGGGTTTGCAGGCTTCTCTGCTCTTATAGGAATTGCGTACAACAGCATCCGGTACGTGACTTACAAGTGCAGGTTACTCATAGAATCAAAGAAACTTATTTGTTTAAATAAATGAAAAGAAAGTATTATATTTATGACAATTAATAAAGAACTTTGTATTCGAATTTAGCTTATTTTTTTTAAATACACAGATTTTCAGATTTTCGATTTTTCGAAGGTCACGGTTTAAAGTTAAATTTGTCAATTCTATTTTCAATCTTTATTTATTTTTATATTTATTAATTTTATTTATTTATTTATTACTGGTCTTTGTTTTTGTAAGTTATTGTTTAAATGTTTATTCTATTGTATTATTTACAGACGTTATGTGTTCAAAGATTTTCACAGTCTTGATGTTATTTTTGACGCCGGTGGGCGTGTGAGCTTGAGCCTCACTGCGGTGACCGTGACGTCACAGCTTTTATGGCCTGCGGATTTTCTACAAAGTCCCACAATGGCAAGCAAGGTTAATTTTTAATACGTTATGTTTTATTATCATGCCGTTCAAAAAGGTAGAATTGTTATTATAATATAATTGAAACAAAAAAAATCTGAGAATCCAAGCCGAAAACCTAAAATAATGAAAGACAGATAAGGACATTTTAAAAAACGTAAGTTTTTCAATTCAACTTCACAATTTCAACATCATAATAACATTTACATTTCTTTACCATGAATTCTTGATGTTTACGATTTCGAATTTATTAATTCACAATTTCAACTTCATGAATTCTTATTTCACAAATTCAACTAAACTACTGTAGTTCACACTATTAATTTACGATTTAAATTATTCAGCAAAACTAATTCTTGTTTGTGAAATTGGGAATGGGTTAAGTATAAAATGTAAACTCATAAGCATTCATTAAGTTTAAAATTGTGAGTGCATTTAGGTAAAACCATGAATCCGTGAAGTTAAAATCGTAATAATATATTGGTGAAGATGAAAGTGTGAGTTCGTAAAGTCTAAATGTCATCACCAGTCTTTGTTATAAAAAAGAACGAAGCTTAATGCAAAACTCACACATTTAGATTGACGGTTTGCATCTTCATATAATAGAAAGAGCTACGCCCCCTCATACAAATCAGATAGCCTCGTGATTCGATGTTTGTATCATAGTCAAACATAAAAACACGTTCCCTGTTGTCACAATATGAAACCCCGGGAAAAGGTAACCAACAAACGAGCATCTGAATATGATAGCTCTGTTGCATTCCCTTTCACTACCGTTACAATAAGTAAACCCCAGCAAAAAATGAGCCAATCAATGGGCATGCTCTGGAGTGCGGGTAACTAATACCTGCACTCCAGTTAACGCACGGTGCATGTATATGTAAACGATTTAAATCTTACACATTTTCAACAGAAAGGTCCCCGAACTATGATACAAAATGTCAGCTTGACCACTTTACTCATGTGAAAGAAAGAAAACGAGTTTGCAGATATCGACTTATTTCAGGTAAAATCTGCAGATATCAATTTATGTCATGTACAAGTAATAGAAAGAGCACCGAAACACGAGTCTATCTGATTTGGACGAGGGGGCGTAGCCCCCCGAGTTTAAATTAGGTTGCCGAGCGTTTTGGTGTTCTTGCAATAGAAAGAGCACCGAAACACGAGGGTATCTGATTTGTACGAGGGGGCGTGGCCCCCGAGTATTAATCAGATTTCCGAGTGTTTTGGTGTTCTTTCTCTTTTGTTTCATAGTCAAACATAAAAGCACGTTCCTTGTTGTCACAATATGAAACCCCGGCAAAAATGAACCAATGAACGAACATCTGAATATGATATTTCTGTCGCTTTCCCTTTCTCTTCCGTCAAAATATGTAAACCCCAGCAAAAATGAGCCAATCAATGGGCATGCTCTTGAGTGCGGGTAACTAATACCCGCACTCCAGTTAACGCACTGTGCATGTATATGTATACGATTTAACCCTGACACATTTTCAACAGAAAGGTCTCCAAACTATGATACAATAGGCAGATAACGACTTATTTCGGTTGCTTTCATAAAAAACCCAAATCGCTGTCGCCTTTATTTTGACAGTTCTCGTATACTTACTTATTTCAGAATATTTTTGTTACTTGAGAGAATGAATTTGATAACTGTTCCGTTGTTATTTTAGGAAATGCGGGTTGTAGGTTCATAACTTTACTTTTGGGCTACATACATTGCTAGGTTTGAAAGTTTTCTGGTTTCCATATTTTCATAACATAATGTGCAAATAAATACACTTTAATATGCACAAATGACATTATTTCACTATTTATAGACATATTTAAAAGCAATTAACTTCATTTTCTTGGTGAGCATGCGGAATTTGTCATTCTAACTAGCGCTTCACTCATAAGTTTAAAATTACTTTAATCTTGTTTTCCATTAAATGTTTTCTTTGTTGCACCCTCTCTTTTTGTTTCACATCAATAAACGGGTTTAAGATTTAATTTTTGCAATGCATTAATATAGAATAATAGCGACCAAAATCCCGTCATATTATTATTATTATTATTTTAATTGGTATTTCAATTTTCCAATTGCTTATATATAATTTCAGGTTGGCATATCAGGGTCGTTGTATTACACGTTAGCAATTGTACTGTCAGTGCTTGTTTTTGCCGTGCTCTGTATACAGCTAAAAACCCGTGCTCCAGGCGCCAAAACATTTCCGCAAGTATGATATCCTTCCGTATATATAATAAATTATATATTTCCGATGCGTTAAGCGAAAAGACGCCAATACACCGTTGTTAAATAAACGAAGAATAAAAGAAACAAACAAAAACAAAACAAACAAGCATAACGACGTTTGATTTTGCACACACTTTAATTGACGTGTATTTTGTCGGCGTCTTTTCAAATAACGTGTTTTAGCAATGGTAATATACTGACGACATCCCATTTCTTTGCACACAAAACAATCCCTATGTTCAATTGACTTGAAGTGGAATCGTATTGTATAAATAAATATCAGACCACACTTAAATTGACTTGTGCATATTTTAATCTTGTATAAGCCATTCATCACATTTTGGGAAAATTTCAAAATTAATACTGACTGAATAGCCACAAAGAGTTCAAACCATAAGTTGGTCATATATAGGTAAGTTCATTCAACGGCAGGAAGGTAAGAGTTAAATGGATCCGCTGAACTACTATTCGTCGATCCTACAGATAACCAATAGGTCGTGACGCCATGACGCTCTGGCCAACATTTCCCAAAAATTTCATTCGTTCGGTTTTCGAGCATTCTGGAATGAGGATGACGCACCCGGCGTGTTATGTGTTATGAATTAGTGTAGGACAAAACCCCTGCAGGACAAAAGCCCTCCCGTCAAAAAGTGACAAGGCGGACAAAAGCCCTTTTAAAAGTGACTTTGTTTTTAACGACATTCGTGTAAAAAGTTACCTCATTAGATATTTCAGGAAGGTATATTCAGAATAAAAAGTGGTTCTAGCTCATACACATACTAAGGCAAATTGAAAACAACAAGAAATATAATGTAACAATTTTAATATGTTGAGTGCATTGAAAAAACACAGGTATTCCGCCTTGTTAATTTCACGGGAGGGCTTTTGTCCGCCTTGTAAATTTCACGGGAGGGCTTTTGTTCGCCAAGTCATTTTCATTGGAGGGCTTTTGTCCGCCCTGTTATTTTCACGGGAGGGCTTTTGTCCGCCCTGTCATTTTCACGGGAGGGCTTTGTCTGGGAGGGCTTTTGTCCGTTTCCCGTAATGAACGTGTAAATAAAGCATGATTTGCGTCTGTCTAACATACGGGAAGCGAATAACAGCGACTAAGATAGATACCCCTAAAAACCATTAGACTGTGCTAACGTGCTACTGGCGCGCAAAGAACGATTTGTCAACGTTAGACAAGCGTGTCACTAACGTCACAGTAACGTGTGATTAACGACCGAATAGCGCATTGCTAGCGCGTTATTTTTACGGTCGAGCGGGTACAAAACGCTAAAATTCCATAGTGAATTCAGTTGTTCTTGTGAGTTTTAATGCCGCCGAGACGAGAAACGCAAAGCCTTTTTTCTAATACCAATGTATTTGGATGAAGAAGAATACCATGGTACGAGTACATCTGAGAAAAACATGGGTTGGTCGTACAGATCGAATTCTTGGAATCTTGATATTCTTTATTCAATCCAGCACTGTTGCCTTTATCACTGTCTTTGTTCTGCGGGCGATGTTCCTTCAATGTGTCAGCTATATCTAAGTTCAGTATATCTACATCAAGTTGGGCTATTACAAAAAAAAATATAGCCACCAAGTCTTTCTGGATCTCCCAGAGTAGGTGCTATCTATGGTAGCCAAAAATCAAACGGAACTTGCTTACAAAGCATTGGATGCACGGACACTCGCTAAACTTTCGAATGACGTTCAATGGACGCCAAAAAGGCGTTCATTTCACGTCTGTCACACGCTGCGTGCGTAAGGTGACCGTTCAGCAGTCGTTGTAAGGTCGCCAGTGAGTTATTCACTGCAAAGCAAGCGACGAGTTACAACCAACAAACGCTAGAGTAAGAACCGCCTCCGTGGTCGAGGGTTTAGCGTCAATGACTTCTAATCCAGTTACCTCTCTGGCGTGGTTTGATCCCCGGGAGATGCTTTGGTAGTTTAGCGCGGAGGAAGGTAGTCATGTACTGGTGTAACTCCCCAGGAACGATGGTTAGGAAACTACTCGCCTACATGACTGAAATACTGTTGGGAAAAGGGGAAAATGAAACAAGGAAACAAAAAAAACAACTAACTAACAAGAGCTGAACGCATGCATTGCTCGGCGAACGTAAGTAAAATGCTTAACGAACGTTTTTGAACATTCTTTAGCGTTTAAAATTAAACGTTGTAGAATGCTGGTCTTGGTAAGAACATGTGTGCATGTTTAAAACTTTTTTTCCGGACCGGCGTATTCCGCCGATTCGTGGTATCCAAACAACCATTGGTGACTGCTACTAGAACCTACTAGACTGCTTATTAGAATGTCATGGTGTAACGGCCCCATTTTATAAGATAATTAACGTGTTTATATTCGTGCACTATATTGTTAACCTAATAAGGAAGATCACATGCAATTACAAGCCTTTCAATGACTTATGTATAAATGAGTGAACAAAAAATATCAACTATAAAAATTAGATTATATGTTTTGATAATAGTACAGGCATCTATGAAAATAACTTAGAGTTTGTTATCATAAACATGTAGTGTCAATGAAAGTAGTTATTGTCATTTCATCAGGTTAAAATATATGTGCTGTCATGACAAAGAGACGAGTTCACACAACTGCAATGTTGTGACCTTTTAATGGTTAGTGTTATGATGATCGACAAGTTCATAGTTCAGTAGTAAGTGTGACATTTAGAGACAAGTGAAAACTTTAAGTGTGACACTTAGCGAAAAGCGAAAAATTTACTGTGTGACATTTGACGACAAGTAAAAGCGACCAAGTGCAAACGTTAACCAAAGACGGTATGTCATTTATAAGTGGACGTTTTTGCGGTAAGTGCGACATTTAATGGCAAGTTCCGACTTTAGCGGCAAGTGTGCCATTAAACGGCAAGTGCAACTTTATAAGTAAGCGTTACTTTTAACGACGAGTGCCAATTTTAGCGGCAAGTGTGTCAATGAACGGCAAGTGTAACTTTATTGGTAAGTGAGACATTCAACGACAAGTGCCAATTTTAGAGGCAAATGTGTCAATGAACGACAAGTGCCAACTTTAGTGGCAATGTGTCAATGAACGGCAAGTGCAACATAATTTGTTAGATGACACTGCTGCTAACGACAAATGCCAACTTATACGGCAAGTGTGTCAATGAAATGCAAATGTAACTTTATTGGTAAGTGTAAAATTTAACAACAAGTGCCGACTTTAGCGGCAAATGTGTCATTGAACGACAAGTGCCAACTAAAGCGACAAATATGTCAATGAACGGCAAGTGCAACTTTATTGGTAAGTGTGACATTTAACGATAAGTGCCATCTTTAGCGACACATGTGTCAAAGAACGGCAAGTGCAACTGAATTGGTAAGAGTAACATTGCTAACGACAAGTGCCAACTTTTGCAGCAAGTGTGTCATTGAACGACTATAGTCTGTCCCATTAAAAATGGAAATGAACTTTTGCCCGGTGTGAATAAACAAAACGAGGTTGAATAAAAATTTAACTATTTTTGTAAACTAAAAAAAAGTCACCCTCGAGATTTTTCAGGATTTTACTCTAAAATGTCTACTTTTCTTGTGAAAGCAAATTTTGATTTCTCTATGGAAAATCTCTGTTGTTTATTTTCCGTAGCCATTGCCGAAGTACTCTTCATTTTAAGATGAACGGGAGAAAGCACGTGTCATGTTTCTAAAATATACATGAGGTTCTCAGGGTCGTTTCATGATTATTTTACAAAGCTGGATCTACAAGATGTAACAGTTTAGTTGCAATGCATGATGAAAAACTTTAAAAAATGAAAAAAAAAGCAACAAGAACACCTAGTCAAATGGATAAAATATCTAGAAATTACACTTACTTTTAAGCTGAATAGAATTCCTATCAATTTCGGAATAGATATTTATAAACGTCCCTTCTGAAGATTCCTTCATTGCCAGTATCTATCCAGTTCCGTAGATCCGATTTTTTCTACTTCGAAAATCCTAGAAATGACATGACTCCTACACTCACCTATGATGATCCAGATTTTTTAAACTGTTAATCCGTCTCATTATTAAAACATTGTTCAATTTGTGGAGTTATCTGGGTTAGCAAATGAAATATGTAAATGAAACACATCATAATTCATTATGTTCCAAATCCATAATTCAAGAACGGCCCATCAATTTTAGTTGTCAACATCACAATGCTTATAACTCTTGAAAATGGATTCCAGACGAAACTTTAAATTACGTCAACAACAATTTACGAAATATATGACGTAACAAAAATGCCTCGCGATTCCAGTTGCGGCATTGACAGAGAGCGGCTAGGCATTATGTAACCTCAAACAGATAATTTTAAGCGTTGAGATGAATTTGTCTTGATGGAATTTAAAATAATTTTTGTATACCCAGATTTTGCAACTAAACTGTAAAAATACACATTCAATTCATATATGAATAATAAAACTTTTGATAACATTTAGATCATCTAGATAATTTTAAACACACTTAATGACATGAATCTACGACAGTACAATACTTCCTCCATTAATTACATATTACATTCGTTTTGATTTTATGTTTTAAACTATTTTACATATTTCTCAGAAATAATTTCCCTACATATAATCTCGTTTTTCATGACTTCTGTAAATCCTACTATTTTAGCTACAAAATATACAATATGCCGTATTTTTCTCCCGCGAAAAATATGCTAGATCTATTGTATTTTCACTGAATATTTTTAAATTTTAGGAAGGCTAAAATTATTGAGAAAGTCACTCGATGTTTCTCTTTGACTCGATCTCCCCTTCTCATTAACATAATTATTATATGTAACACTTTGAGTCTAAAAAAACACACTTATTGTCGCTTATTGAACACTACAATTCAATTTATTCAAACTTATTCTTAATAATATCAAATCAGTGAAATCACTTACATTTTGTTGAATTGTGAATTGTGAGACGGGAAGTTAAATTTGTATTTACAAACTTAAAGTGTATAGGCCTACGTTTGATTGCTCAAACTAGAAAGCATATGATATTATATATATTCTTATAATTTAACATTTTCCTCGAACGCGAGTCTGTGTTCTCTCATTAGCCAGGGAGTTAGTTAAAGTAGACACTGTGGTAACAAGCAAACCAATTCTGAACGTATAGTGAATCAGTTTTCCTTTCTATATATTTCTTGTCAGATTTGCATGATAGAGTAGTATTTTGTTGGCGATTTTTTGTGAAAGTTGAAACCTACGGAAAAATTTTAGCGCACGGACATCGCCCACCGAAATAAGAAGGGTAACATATTCTTGTAATCCCATCGAACCTGGTCAATTTAAATTATTTTTGAATAGAAGTGATACATACTAATGGACAGAGTTCAGACAACTAAAGTATTGTGTAAATTAAACATTAATAAGCAAAGAACCATTTTTTATAGTCTTCTAGCTGGGTCATGTGGGGGTTACGTTCATTGAACGCCGCCTTTCCTTGTTGATATTGTTTATCATATTCTAGCTAGTGTTCCCGCTCCCTACGACATGCTGCGGTAAGATACGCACTTTATTGGAAAGCTATCTAATCAAATCAAATCACTTTATTGTTCTTTTTTATCTTAAAAAATACGACAGTTTATCATGGTTATTAATTTAATCTTTGTGTGTAAGAATTTATAAAGCGGTTAGCGATATTTTAGCTTTAAATGATTTTGATTATTTTAATAATAGTTTGCTAGTAAAATTGCCTTTTTGACACCAACTTTGTTCTCATTTTTCATTTTAATGATAACATTTAGCTATTGATCAGTAAGTAAATAAATATAATCAAATTTTTATAATTAATGAGTAAATTTCACCGTAATTGTGAGACGAACCCTAAATGACGTCTATATGGGCGCCGCCATTTTGAAATGGACGTCACGTCAGGTTACAACGTAAGTCAACGGGGAAAAATATAATTTTAACATTTTGACCATATTACTGACTTTATGAAAAAAATGAAAAACATGCCTAGAGATATTGACGTCAGGGTTAAGATGACATTAATTTAAATGATTTTACTATTATATTAAATAAAAAATGGAATGTTCAAATTTGATGGGACAGACTATAGTGCCAAATTTAGCGGTAAATGTGTTAATGAACGTCGAGTGCAACTTTATTGTTAAGAGTTTCATTTAACGACAAGTGCCATCTTTAGAGGCAGTGTGTCATTGAACGGCAGATGCAACTATAATGGCAACTGTGTCAATGAACGGCGAGTACAACTTTATTGGTAAGTGTGACATCAACGACTTTTCGTATTTCATAATCTATTGTTAACAAAAATAACGTGTATCTTTTCTAATTTTTATTTCAGATCGCATACGCCCGTTTTGGTAAAAACACACATATTTTGTTTTGTGTTGTTGCTCTCTTTACAAATATGGTAATCGTTGCTAATCTTATTCTGGCAGGTTAGTTCTTTAGAAGCCTTTTGTCTTGCTTAATTTTACATTTATGCTTTATTTTGTTTATGAAATGGTCGTTATTTTAGTTAAAAGTGTACACCATTTTTATTTACCTGAAACAATTTTCTGAATTATAACAAATTATGTTTTATAAGAGTATTATCCATATATGAAATGCATATTTAAAAAAAAGACTGTTCAAACGAAGTAAAGCCATTATTAAAAGAACTCGACACTGTTCTTTGCTCAAAAGACGCATAACGTCGCAGAACATATTTAAGATACCTGAAAAAGGCAAAAGAATAAACTTCTTGGTGCCTCTTTCAAAGCATTAGAAACACATTTTGCCTAAGAAACCAATTGTTCTAGTTCTTTAGAAAGGTCAAATATGAGTTTAAATATTTTTAATAATGGATTTACAGCATGTTAAATTAAGAAACAAAACTAAGAAAGTAAGGCTGAACCTTACTGAACTGCGCGTTATGGGTGGTTAAAGGTAGGAAAATTTAACAAAGTATTTTTTGACTTCCAAGTTATTTACTGAATCACTATAATTATACCAATTGCCAAAGAGAAAAAGAAACAAAAGTTATAAACTTTAAGGCCAATGAGTAACTTTTTGAAAACTATATCACGATACCAAAAAGTACAAAAAATAAATATGGGCGCTAAATGGACCTTTAATTGATGTTTTACACAGTTATGCTAATATTGCAGCTTCTATTAAAATTTTAGGTAAAGCTGCCATTGAAGTACTCAGCAAGGATTCTTCGAACGAGTTTACTCTAATGATTCTGGCCGTGCTATTCGGTTCATACTGCATGATTGGAGGTCTTGGAACTACTTTTTACATTTCCTATTTCAACACCGCATTGATCTTTATTACAACGTCACTTTTCATCCTGAAATTCACATACTTGGTTGAACCGGAGGTAGAAGAAGTGACATCACATAAAGCTCTTCATACTGCAATGTCATGCTTAAAAGGGCCTGATGGGAATTACGAGAATTCCTTCCTTACTTTTCGAAGCGAATCCGGAATAATTTACGGCATCGTGACATTATTCATGACCATCGCAATTGTTTTCTGTGACCAAGCCAACTGGCAGAGCCGTATTGCAGCGAAACCTCGTGAAGGAATGTTAGGGTTCCTGATAGCAGCGTTTCTATGGTACGCCATTCCGACGTCAATTTCATTCGTGTCATCGATGACGTATAAGACCATGAGTTTCAAGAATGGAACAAACCTTCTGACTGATGAAGAAATTGACGAAGGTAAACATCAGCTTTCGGTCTATTAAATCGTTTCCTTAATAGAGAATAACATGCTACTGTCGTTTGATATCATTGTTATCAGGGGAGGCTGATATGGGCTAGAAAAGGGCGAGGCTTGTACAGAAGTTGGAGATAAATACAACAATAAAATAACAACAAAAACCCATCACTTTAGGCATTTTACTAGCATTAGCTCTCATAATACACGTAAATCTATCTATTTTTTATTTTATATTATTATTATTATTACTTTTTTTTGCGGGGTGGGGGGGGTGGAGTTGCCTTGCAACAACACAGCATATGTCATATGGAGACTTTGCAGTTTTACCTCAGAGACCTCATGTGCCCTTCCTTACATTATTTGTGGCACGAACAGGCATTCGAAACCACAGAGGGAAGGAGCATGTGGTTTGAAGCCAACGACCTTATCTTCTCGGCCAAGGACGCCCCGTTTAATGTTAGACTTAGACATCTTCTTCTCATTTAAAAAGTCTAAGGTACATGTATGTGTATGTACAATTCTATATTTTGATTGACAATTCAAAATGATAAATGAAAGCGTTTTTTGTTTTTGCCTTTTTGTTGAACAATTTGTAAAGAACATTCATTTATTGATTCCAAGCAAAATCGCAATATTTAGGAGGAAAGCTGTAAAGGTCACTCCCTTTAATTGATTATTACATTTCAAATTTTAATTTTAGGTTATATTACACCTTTTGTCGTACAATCGTTGCTAGGCAAGGAAGGGTGCTTTGTTCTGCTCACTTTAATGACTATGACGTTAATGTCGACTGGTTCTGGTGAAGTAATGTCAGTGTCGTCTGTTTTAGTCTACGATATCATTAAAACACACATAGATCCATTCAGGTACGTTCGTCTGCTGCACTTTATTGCATGCGTGTTTCTGAATAATCATACAATACTTGTATATATTTTGATCATTGATCTAACTGTATATTCTACTTCTTAAGCCAATACACGTGAAATAAGGAGATTTTCCAAAATTTACCTGATAACTGACCCGAATTATATATTCGTACAATAATATAAATTTAATAATTTAGAGGGGCCTTACTTTCTCCAAGCACATTATTGCGTGATATTTCTTTCATTTTTTCTTTATTTTATTACAATTGTTGATGTGTAATTAAAACAATGATAAACTGACAATTACATGTAGTTGAATGAAATTACATTTTTCGGACTTTATAAAAAAGATAGCGAAATTCACACTGTTTTTAAAGGCCTGGTGCTCAGCCAACAGACTGTGTTCTTTGTGGTAAATCAAAGATACCTATTGCGATGGATGATGTACCGAGAGACCCTTTCCCATTGGCCATCGTGGTGATTTAGAAATTTGGGGCGAATTAAAATAGTTAGCGGGAACGCCCAAACCTGGATTTCCTTTGCCCCGGCAGAGAAGTAAGTTTAAATTTCATTTTAAAATTTTACCTTTAAGTACTTCTTGGTTTTTTTTTGTTTTTTTTTTTTTTTTATTTTTTTTTTTTCCGGTGGCCCACTGCTTCCTTTCCCTCTTTCCCTTTTTTCCCCTACTTCACATACGTAATTTTTTCTTTTGTTTTCTTATTTTAGGATAAAAAAGGAAATTAAAAGGGAGTTAAAGCTTAATTTGTTCATCTTTGCATTTTTTAAATATGTAGAAATGTGAGATATCTCCGATATATTTCATATAAGGCTTAATTCATCTTGAGAGAAAATTCTATAATATTTGATTTTCTTTTCACTCATATTTTTATTTCGCTGTAATTTTGATGGGCTGTAATTGTTTTTGGTAACTGGTTACAATATTGTTTTGACGTCCTTGGGACCCGCTATTCAACAATCCCGGTGATGATTTGGTAAACATGGATTTTCCTTCGGATTTGATTTTTATTCGGGGATGAAAAACCCCAAAATGGCCCCTTTTGGCCCCCAGGTTTTTTATCGTCCCTTTTTTTTACCCCTTTTACTTCCTATCGGATGGGCGGGGGTTTACATCTAAAAGGGCTGATATCAGGTAAGGCAAAATTTCATAAAAAAAAACAAGAAAACGATTGTGAGAAGGTATAACAGTTTTTTGTCTTTGTTGATATTTCTTCCACCGTTCATATTTGCTATTCCTGCTAAGGAAATTCAAAGATTTATAATCCTGGCGACTTTGGTCTTTAAATGAATATTTTTATCAAGTGTGTAGTCTTGAATTTTGTTACGTTTCAATGGCACATCTTGAATTATATCCAATATGTTAGGTTTTTTTATATTTCAAGCATATGTAAACTTTCGTTTTAAGATATTTTTGTCAATGCATACTGTGCCATGTCTCGGTTTTTCTTGCATAAAAAGTAAGTAAACATCATTTAATTTCAGGCGGTATAATTGGTCTTATATGCTCTGTGTCCGGTATGCTAGGTTACGGTTCTACTTACGAAGGTGGATTATCCGATTTCTTTAAAAACACTGCCCAAGACTACAGTCTGTTGACGGGACTACTTTCGGGCGTGGTTGTAAGCGCAGTTATCTCAGTCATTGTGTCACTATGTGATAAGAATTCTAGACAGCGGGTGGCGTTAAACAAAGCATTCCCTCTCGGAAAGCCGGAGTACGACAGTGAAAAAAAATCAGGAAAAAAAAAGCTATTTTTCTTGAATTGAGTTGGTTGAGAAATGAGCATAATCCACTGGGTTTCCCTACGCTGTTTACAAAAAAAAAGCTTTCAAAAGAATAATGTGGGAAAATATACTTTAATCACTGGAAATATTTTCAGGAAAACACGTTTAAAAAATTCCCTGGGTGGTCGTCAGTTTGCCCTTTTTTGTGTGGTCCCGGCATAGCTCTAAATCGGACTGCTGAAGGAAACTTTAATTTTTGGCCGGATTTTGGTTTTTAAACACTGGTGTAATATCCCTATTGTCGTAATATCCCCTTTACAAGAAAGGCAAAAATTTGGGACCGTTAAAAGAATAAAAGTTAATCTATAAAAAAAGAAGGGTTTTACGATTTCTGTTTAAAAAATTGTGATTTTTTGAATCTTATTTTTTTTTCTCTAAATTTTAAAAACTGGAATTCAGTAATTTTTCTTTGATAATATTTCTATTGCAATAAAAAATTTAAAATTAAAATTTTGAATTTTTGGGTTTCCCTTTTAACCCCTTTAAAAGGTTTTTAGCAAAAAGGAAAGCCGGGTTTGAAGAAATTTACTTTATAAAAATTCCGTTTTGGTTTTTAAAAAAAAAAATCCAAATTCTTTTTGAATATAGATATATTATATAATAAACAAGAATCCTCTGTAAACAGTGTCATTTTTTAAAAGAAAAAATATACCCGAAAACCCTTTCCCTGGAATTCAGTAAACAATTTATCTTTACATGAATAGTTTAGAAAAATGTCTTTTTAAAATTTTTCCCGAAGAAAAAATGTCAAAATTTGATTGTTCCATATAGAATCCCCCTGTGATCCCCAGAGGGTTTTTTTATAATTTCTTGTCCCTATTTTCCCCCGCCCCGGGGGTCCCTGGTTTATATAGATTGAGGAAAAAATTAAGTTTTTTTTAAAAATTAAACAAAACTTAGAATTTATTTATTTCGGAAAAATTTTCAAAAGGTATGTAAAAATTCTTGGGAATTGGGCCCAAATTTGGGGTTTATTGAATATTATATTGGCACCAAATTTAAGAATTGACTGGCGATTAAAAATAAAATTTCAAATTACTCTTAAAATTTTAAAATGTAATTCTGGTTTAAAAAAATTAAATTTTTTTAAATTTTAAAAAGCATAATCTTATTTGGGTAAAATTAGGATTAAAAATAAAAAACCCCTAAAAATACGGTTTTTTTCCTTTTGTGATCTATGGTTATTTTTCAAATTTTTTATTCCCCCAGTATAATTTGTCTGTTTAAATTTTACGTCTTTTTTTAAAATTTTTTTACCCCCCTTGAAAAAAATTAAACTGTTTTTAAATTTTCCCCCTTAATTTTTGTTTAGATTGTAGTAAAAACCAATTTATAAAAACAAATTTTCTTTTTAACTTTTTTAATAAAAGTTTTTAAAAATTTTGTTTTTTTCTTTTTTTGGTTTTAAAATTTCAAAAACCAATTGATTTTTACCCAAAATTAGCGTTAAAAAAAATTTTAGGTTTTCTTTTGGGGTTTGGAAGAGAACCAGTATTTTCAATTTTTTAATGTATAATTTCTTAAAAATTTTGTATATTTGTCTGCATTTTTTTTAAAAAAAAGGACTTTACTGCATTAATCTTTTTAAAATTCTTTTTAAATTCTAAAAAAAATTAATTTATTTTTTAAACAATAATTAAATTAAAAAAATTTTTAAATTTTTAAAAATTTTTTTAAATATTTATTAAAACAAAAACTTTTTAAATTTTGTTCGTTAAAACCTTTCCCTAGTTTATTTCTTTTTATTTTTTTTCAGAAAAAGGAAAATTCCCCTTATTAATTTTTTTGAAAACATTCGTGAAAAAAAATGGAATTGTAACTTTGTTTTTAAAATTAAAAAAAAGGGTTAGGGGTAAAGGCAAGAAAAACTTTTTTATTAAAATGAAAAATAATTGCATTGTTTTTTCATTGATGGTTTAAACAATTTACTAAAATAGGAAATTATTTTTTTAAAAGATGGAAAACTAAAGTTGAAAAGTTTATTTTAATTAAATAAAATTTATCAATATCGTAAATTTTAAACACCCAAAAAAGACGATTTTTTCCAATCGATTACTTTTTAAAAGCGCGAAAAAGGGGTGAAATTATGAGTTATGATCAATATCTATACGGTTTAGATTTAACCCGCACGTTTGCTAAATACGCATTGCTATAGTCCGGTCTTGTTTTTGCAGTGTCCCAGCTCGTTTTCTTTTCAGATATAATGACATCATCCCTCTCTAAGTCTTCCATTGGTCGATACTCGCGTAAGTATCTACAGTTTTTCAAAAGACGCAATGAAGTCGTTGAAACGCCGGGAACTACTTTCCTTTCGAATTCCACGTTCTGCTCCGGTTGATAAACTTTAAATAGGAAATTGCTGAAAGAAAAACAATGACGCAGACATGTATTTATAAATGACATTGTATTTTTTTGTTTTGTTCTTTAAATTGTTTTAACTAATAAAGAAATAGTTAAAAGAGGTATGCCTCTAGATTCATGCTATTTTTCATAATTTTTCAAAAATATATTAATAGGTCAAATATTGTAAAGTGAACAAAAAGTAATTGCAAACAGCACTGAAAATCCACGAAATTACCCCAAAATAGTCCAGAATATGCAAAACTATCCCTAACTGTGTTAGTAGATTATTGAGAGTGCAGAAGTTATGTGAATCACAAGTCATATCAGGGGATAAAACTCTGAAATGATTTTCAATTTGAAAAACCATAAGTTGCCTCCCATCCAACAACAAAACTGATCAGTTTTGCATGGTTTAAAGATAAAAGTGCAAACTTTTCCGAATGATTAATTTGCATTTGAAATAGGTTAGGGTACGAATGGTTTTAGAACGAATGCTTTAAGAATTAAAAGTTTTAGGAATAATGTCGTCATCTAACTTTTTCCAGGTCTTTCACTCGCAAATCCGAGATCGGTCAAACAAACAAGCTACTCAGCTAACATGGCAGATTTGCACCGCACGAATAAGGCTATATAACATTTAATTTTGATAAAATCAAACCATCCTCTTATATTGCCATAAGCCGTAAAATAAAACCATCCTCTAATATTGCAATAATCAGTAACATAAGGCCATCTTCTGATATTGCAATAAGAAGTTTGATAAGACCATCCTCTAATATTGCAAAAAGCAGTTACATAAGACTGTCCTCTAATATTGCAATAATCAGTAACATAAGACCGTCTTCTGATATTGCAATAAAAAGTTGGATAAGACCATCCTCTAATATTGCAAAAAGCAGTTACATAAGACTGTCCTCTTATATTGCAATAAGGTGTTATATAAGACCATCCTCTAAAATTGCGATACACAGTAAGATAAGGCCATCCTCTGATATTGCAATAAGGCGTAAAAAAGAATATCCTCTAACATTGCAATAAGCCGTAAGAATAAGACCTTTTTCTGATATTGGCAATAAGCCGTAAAATTAAGACCATCCTCTAATATTGCCAATAAGCAGTAACATAAGGTCATCCTCTGATATTGCAAAAAGGCCGTAAAAAAAAAACCAGCCTCTAAGTATTGCAATTAAGCCGTAAAATAAAGACCATCCTCTAATAGTGCCCAATAAAATCCGTAAGATAAGACAAATTCTCTTATATTGCAATAAGGCTTAAAAAAACATCCTCTAAATATTGCAAAAAATCCGTTAGATAAGACCATTCTCTAAATATTGCAATAATTCGTTTTAAATAAGACCTATTCTCTAATATTGCAATAAGGCAATAGATAAAACCATCTTCTCTAACATTATTATAAAATGCTAAAATATAGACCATTCTCTAATATTGCAATTAGCATCTAATATAAGACCATCCTGCTAATTTTGCAATTTTAAATCGTAAAATTAAGGCCCCCCCTTTGATAAATTTCAAAAGGCTTTTTTAAAAACCATCTTCTTAAAAATTTTCAATAATGCCCTAAGTAAACCCCCGTTCTATTATATTGAATAAGCTGTAAATAAGACCCTTTCCTTTTAAAAATGCAATTAGGGCGTTTTTAAAAGACCATTTCCCCTTTATATTGCCCCTAAAAACGAAGGTAAAACCAGTGTCTAATTTATCAATAAGCCTTAAAAAAAGACCATTCTCTAATATTGCAATAAGCCGTAAAATAAGGCCATTTTCTGATATTGCAATAACGCGTTAAATAAGACCATCCTCTTATATTGCAGTAATCCGTAAAATAAGAACATTCTTTTGATATTGGGAATAAGACGTAAAAATAAAACCCCTCCTCTATATTTTCAATTTAAAACCGTAAACGAACCCTTTTCACCCCTTTTTATTAAAAATTTTTTGGGTTTTTAAATTTTGGGTTTGGAAAAGAGAACTGTTTGAAACAGATAAACAATATAAATGTTTTAAACATTTAAACCCGGTTTTTTCCCAGTTTTGTTGACGTTTGTACCGGGGGGGGTTTTGGCTCCAGGGCCCGGGGCTACTGGGAAAAGGTTTGGAATTTGGCACAATCATCCCCAGAATATTAAAGAAGTCAATGCTCATATTTATCAAAATTCTCACATAGGTTAAATGTGTATAGATAAAGTTATATGATTTTAAATGAGTCAATTAATACAACAATCATACAACGTAAATCTTGTGTCACTATAAAAATGTTAACTGAATAATTACATGTCGGTTCCCTAGTTTATTATGCAAGTTACTATTTTTAACTTTTATTATTTTTATCATATAGCATATTTGTTCCTTTTAAAGAAATTGTTCGGAAAACTTTGAACAAAACAGTGTGTGTAAATGTTTTGTTTTAAGAAAAGTGTTTCATAAATTCTTAACCATCACCGGCATAATATAAATAAAGGATTAGAAAATTTCTTTTCTTGATAAATCCGTACACCTGATGAAATCTCACCGTCCCTGTGTTTAATTCTGTTAATTATGAAACGTAATTAAATGGAAGTAGAAAGCTTAGATTGTTAGAGTGATTAACTTATTCCGAGAGAAAATTAAAGTTCTTCTTGAAATCACTTAAATAACTATGCAGTGCATGTTTCGTGATGTTCACATATTTGTGTCCAGGTAGTGCGAAAAATGTGCAGCCTGACCGGCACTCGAACCCGGGAACCTCTACCGGTCGCTTTCATATTTTCTCCACTTAACTAGTGAATAGTTCTGACATTTGTAAATATTGAAAAATACTTTATATCCTGATTCAATATGATAAGACAATAAGTCATCGTGAAGAAAAACAAAACGTATGTAGATTAATTCTACAGGGGTACATTAAGGCATAACCTTGGCAAATATTGTATCCGGAACCCCTTGAATGCCGTTTCGCAGCATTAACCGACTAAGCTCCCCGGCTGCTTACATAATATCTTCCTTATAAGTGAGCAATGTTATACCGGGACATACGAAAGACCGACGGGGACATTTTAACTTGATGAATTCCTGATGTTATCTTCGTGAATTCGATAAGTTGAAATCGTTAACTCGTGATTTTGAAATCTTAGATTTGCGATGTTGAAATTGTGAATTTACAAATATGAAATCAGGAGTTCATGACTTCACAAAGTTAAAATTGTGAATTTACGAACATGAAATCGGGAATTCATCAAGTTAAAATGCCCCCACCGGTCTCTCGTAGGGATATAATCTCCCCCTATAATGACAAATATATCTTTTGAAAATGAATGAATTTTATATTCATGGTCATCTCTTGGGCTCCTAATGTCACGGGGTGAAAAAAATACGCAGGTTATTTGATACCACGGGATGATAAGACACTTCAAAGGATATAAACAGTAGTAAAAGCAATTGAAAGTAGAAATTTATTAACAGAATAAGTATAGAAGAACAAAGCCAGGTATTTTACAGATAAATCCTTTAAACACAGCTGTGTCAGTTTTAAGCTTAGGTACACATTCACCAAAGAAGGAAAACAACTTCTTAAAGGTCAGAAAAAAGTTCCTACTCTGCCTTTACTTTCCCATAAACATTCCTCCAAAAATCCAGATACCCTCATAACTACAAATATGTTTCAATAATCTACAAAATAGTTTGATAAAAAAAAATAATAAGATAAAATACTTGTCCGCGATCTAATCTAGCAAATTGCTCTTCGATAAAGGCGTCTTAAGAAAAACAGAATTATAAAATGAAAATTTATGGAACGTAAAAGACACTATCTTCCTCGACAAGATGGTTAAGATCTTAATCAGTTTAACAACAATATAAAACAAGGTTTGATCCTGCAATTAAAAGATTGACACAAATACGTTTCCCCTAAAATCGATACTGTATATATCAAAACCGATATTTTGACATGAAAATAATATAAATTCTGATATGTACAAAATATGACTAATATTTTCTTAAACATAGAAGCAAATGGTGTTTTAAGCGTGCATTACCTAATAGTTATTTCAACAAAAATAGCTTGACAGGTGTGTATGGAACTTTTATTTCACACCCCAACCCCCAAAAGCACAATAAATGTACGGTATTTGGATACGTACAGTATGTTGCCGAAATCTTTATACACAAGTTATAAGACGCATAGCTTGCAACTGATATTTTTATATGTACAGTATGTTACCGATATCTTAATATGTATAGTTTGTAACCAATATCTTTATATATACATCACGTAACCGATATCCAAAATCTTCGAATGTAAAGTATGAACCGATATCTTAATATAAACAATATGTTACCGATATTTTGATAAAAACAGTGTGTACCTGATATCTTTATATATACAGTATGTAACCGATATCTTCATATGTACAGTATGTAACTAATATATTTGAATGTACAGTATGAAACCGATATCTTTATATGTACAGTATGAAACCGATTACTTTATATGTACAGTGAGTAACCGATATCTTTATATGTACTGTATGTAACCAATATTTTGATATGTACTATATGTAACCGATATCTTTATATGTATAGTGAGAACCGATATCTTTATAGGTACACTATGTAACCGATATCTTTATATGTACAGTATGTAACTGACATCTTTATAGGTACACTATGTAACCGATATCTTTATATGTACAGTATGTAACTGATATCTTTATATGTACAGTATGTAACCGATACCTTTATATGTACAGTATTTAATTGACATCGTTATATGTACAGTATGTAACCAATATTTTGACATGTACTATATGTAACCGATACCTTTATATGTACATGTACAGTATTTAACCGATATCTTTATATGTACAGTATGTAACCGATATCTTTATATGTACAATATGTAACCGATATCTTTATATGTACAGTATGTAACCGATATCTTTATATGTACAATATGTAACCGATATCTTTATATGTACAATATGTAACCGATGTTTTAATATGTACTGTATGTAGTTGATATTTTGCCACGTATCGTAAGTAAGCGATATTTTGGCATGCGCAGTTTGTAACAGCTATTTTGATAGTTTCAGTTTGTAAGCGATATTTTGACATGTCATGTTTCCCATGTACAGTATGTAATCAATATTTTGAAATGCACAGTCTGTAAATAAATACAATCTCTCATGAATAGTTTGTAACTTTTCGAGAAAGAGTTTTGGTCTTTACTTGACGTGAGTGACATTAATTTTCATGATATATTTTTCTGAATCTAATAGAAAAAAACATCCTTATTACATTATGCAGATTATGAACTTTAAAATCTTATTCATAAAGCGTTAACAATTTTAAAATTTTGAAAATAAAATGAAAGAAAAGAAAACACTAACCTTTTTCAAAAGTATCAATGAACCTCTTCATTTTCATGTTTTGTTTCAACATACTGTCTCTTTCCGCTTTTAATAGCTTATCCCTGTAATACTGATCCCTCAGGGATGGTATTTCATGACTAATAATCCGGGGTGTTCCGAATGGCCGGATTTTACCGCTGCGCGTTCGTTCATATTTTTGAACAGGTTCACTCGCAACAGCCTCATGTATTCTTTCTTGTTCTTCTGCTTTAGCACGCGTTTGAGTAAACAAAAGTTTCTTTTGATGCGAAAGAGTAGCCGAACGTCTCGGACTAAAACCTTGTCGGCTTTGAGCTGGTTCCGGTGAAGTTGGGGGCGACGGAAAATGCTGCCCTTGGATACCTTCTGGCCTTTTGCCAAAAATAGCCATGTTCGGGTTTTCCTGTTTGATAACACGGTTTTCCTGCATTAACAGTTTTCTTATTTCTTCACTTCGCTTCTTTCTTAATTCTTTTATCTTTTCTTGTATTCCTATCCTTGGACTACTATTTTCTTCAGAACACATCTCACGAGACTTTCTATGGAATTTTGCACTTCCGGTTGTCCTTTCGTGATCACTTGTTTTAAGAACAAAACTTCGTTCTTTGTACCTAACTGAAAATGGATTTTGAATACTAAACGCTGTAACGTTAGGAAAATTCGCTTCAATGTTTACTGAAGGAAGACTTTTTGATGCGGACTTACTGTCACCTTTTCGAGGCAGTGTTGTTTTATATAAACTAAAAGAAACATCTCCAGGTATGGACTGGCTTACGGACGACACATTTTCCGCATCGCTGTCGTCACTGTTATCAGTTTCCGTTGTTATTAAATCTGATTCAAAACCATATGCAAAGTCAGTACTATTTTCTTCGTCGGATTCATCCGAACAGTATTGTCCATTTCTGGAGTTTGCTGATTCCCTCGCTCTTGGCGTAGGGATTTTTGACCGAGGCAATTTTACGACAATGGTTCTTTTGACATGTCCATCGGATGCATTTGCAGACCTTCGGAGATGTGAGGGCTTTTTGCGTTTTTCTCTGTCTGATTTGGATTTATCCTGAAATATAAACGGATAAAAATAAAAACGTGATCTTAACAAACCGTGTAAATACTGAATCGTGACTACAAATTAAACCAGATTTTTCTTTCAAATATATATATTTAAAAAAAACTATCAATGCGTTATAAACATTCCCATTTTTTTAGTGCACAAAAGTTTTGTCATACACAAAAGTATTGTCATACTTTTTGTTGTAAAGTTTATGCCTGTTATTGTTAGTTACTAGGCTACAAGTTATTGTTCATGTATTTAAATATGAAATTATAAAAAGTAGTATTTTATTCATAGGTTTTAAATAATTAATATGCATAGGAATAGTTTGCTTTGGTAAAATACCAGCACAGATATTGTGACATTTTATCTAAAGATGTTTTGCGATCCGAACAATACAAAACAAAACAATAAAACATATGCAATTAGACACTGTAATTAACTAATATCTCAAAGTAATGTAAAATATACGATATGCTATATTGTACGGAGTACCGTTAGGGCTATCGTGCTTATATGACAGTCAACAATACGATAGTGCGATTGCGCTATTGTGCTATATGGTTTCTATTTATAGATGTAAAACATGCAGTGGTTAATCAAAGTACTTAAGGTACTGATGGAAGGCGAAGTTAGATTTTGCGCAACCCACATGTTAGACAATCAAACATAGTCAATTAGATAATAACATTTCAGTCTTACAAAACATTTCATTTAGTTTAATAAACTCAAACATTTCATGATATTCTCTCAATTGAGAGATAACCAAGTTTATCTGTGCCGAGTACACAAGTATAAATTTGCAAAACATGCTTTTAAAAATAATTTTGCGTATGTTTTTGATTCAAGTGAATGTCCACTAATGTTCTTGGACGATGCAGAAGACTGACGCTACATTCATTCATTCATTCATTCATTCGTTCGTTCGTTCGTTCGTTCGTTCGTTCGTTCATTCGTTCGTTCGTTCGTTCGTTCATCCGTCCTTTTTCATTCATTCTTTCTTTCTTTCTTTCTTTCTTCCATCCATCCTTCCTTACTTTCTTTGTTTCTTTCTTTCTTTCTTTGTTTCTTTCTTTCTTTCTTTCTTATTGTTTTTTTTACATTGGCTTATTAAAATTATGAAATATTGATATAACACTACACACTGCATGTTCGTTTAGTTTATGAACTGCCATTGAAGGTGAATTATGATAAATTGAATGAATAGAGTTTTAGCAATAATTTACGTTTTGATACTTAGTCTAGCCAAAGCCGAAACGTAAACAAAAAATTTGAGTGGAAAAAATAACAAATCTCTTAAAACAATATATAGATAACAAATGTTTATTTAAGACTAAGAGTTTTTAATAAAAATGCTTTTAGATTATGTTCTTTGATAACACTTATAATTTATAACAAACATATTTTGTTTTACATGTAAGTACACGCACTGTATTTTGCCCAAGACTATGTACTTTTAATGCAGAATTTGAAATATGTCAAAATATACTATGCGAAATTTAAAACTGACGTTTTTAAATGTTTTCTTTCTTCTTTTGATTTCCAACAATATCAAGAAGGGAGTAAAACTAAACTTGACTTGAAGGGAGCGTAGATATCGTTTTGAATATAATATATAGTGAGTCTTGGATGAAATTGGTTTACAATATGTAAAGCATTATCTATTATTTGTATTTTTTTATTAAAACTGTTTAGTAAGTTATGGTTACAATCATTGGTTATCTTAACTTGCAAATAGCCACAGATATCCACAGATATCCATACAATTTATATATTGCTCCTAAGCTGATAATATTTATGAGGAAAAAAACAAACAAATAATCATGATAACCTTAACACTCTGCGATATAAAAATAAAACAAAGAAGTTGATCCCTCCGGAAGATGGGGGGGTGGAGGGGCGAGGCGTCTTTTCTAGTTACACGTTCATAACTACCGCTGGTTCAACCAGTGTGAGACCGCTATGATATATCAGCTTGCAAAAGTTTGTTTGTTATAACTATAAACCCCTAGGACTTTATGAACTGAATTATGTGGAAAATTGCTTTTTTTTCAAATTTTAGGGTCCTTTTTCATAAAACGCAACACCTAAAAATTCAGATTTAATTTTGAAGAAGTCGAGTGATCCAGTTTTATTTTAAGAAAAGAATAACAAAAATTAAAAACAACCGACAAGCAATCAAACTTACTGATGTTTGAGTCTCTTTATCGGCCATGTCCGGCAGGTGGCGCCCTGCAACATTCGCATGCGTCTGTGCGTTATTTTCGATCACTTCCGGTAAAAGTGGAACACTGTCGCTTACGTCAAATACGTTTCTTCTCGAATGACTTCTATTCAATAAACTCAAGCGTTTCTTTGTAAGTTTTGGAAAACCTGTAAAAGAAACATATCCTTTAATTGTATTACTGCAGCGGTGAATTTAATGCAATAGAGCGACTCAACTTTTAACATTTATCTTATTTATGCACTTCAATATTTATCCCTTTTTTATTCGATAATAATTAATCTATGAAGTGGATTTGTTGTGATTAAACCAGCTTTAAGATTGCGTGTAAACACTACAAGATTATTTTGGAAACTTGAGTGGATTCTTCAATCTGTAAACTGTATCCGATATTAAACTATGAACGCTTAGATAAATAATAATAATGCATCCACGTTAAAACCTTTAGATCTTCTTACCTCTTACAAAATACAGAGTATTGCATGTGTTCATAAAATTATCAATTAAAGGAAAATTTATATTTTGTAAAATAAATGACATGAATGCCTAATTTTACCATTTATCCGATCTGTGCATACTTGAATTGAACATAAGTCAACATTGATCCAAACATTACTCTCAATATGATTCGAATTTTATACAGTTTGCTTAAGATTTTTGTCTAAGTAGGAAAACATTATTTTAACTGTTTAAATACTCAATCACAATGGCCTTTTACATGATCATTGTTAAACTTGAATATCTTGGATGAAATTGAAGCGTTTTGTAAATCGTTTAGCTGTTGTAATACTGCAAATATTAACTTTTTATTACCAGAAATACAGGGATAAGTCCGCTGTTTTGATTGTTAAGTGAATGTATACAATAGTTTGACATGCACGTATTAATAGCTTTATGTTACAATGGCTCGATTTCTAACCTAATGTTATGACTTTTAAAACATTTCTTTTGATCTAATAAAACATGTTGAATATTTTTGCAGGGTTTTTGAGTCATGCCGACACTGTTAATGTCATATAGCGTTTTTAGTTTTTCGGGTAAAGGAAAGACCCCAGACCCCCCTTCGTGCTTTATCCCCAGTATGCCCCTGAAAAGATTTTTCTATCGAATATAATTTTTTCATGGGGTATATTGAATTTATTCACATTTGACAGAAAGGACGGGAAATTTTTATAATTGTGTAGAAAATGGAAGTGTGTTCATTTTAGAAAATCTATGTTCAAAATGTTATCGTACATAATCTCAATTATCTCCCTTTAATTACATATACAGAAATGCATTTGACATTGTTATAACTGACAAAATGAAAGGAATGAGAAATTCTGGACGAAAATTGGATAAACTATTGGTATGTCTGTATGATGATATATTGGAAAGTCTTTAAACGATTGTCTCATACTGTGTGAGGCAGTGCTACTGTTCTGAGACTAACAGGGCGGTATAGGCAGCAAGAATCTCACCTTGGCTGCCAGTACAGAGCGGAATATCTGGCTCGAGGGTAACTGTTTAAGGCGGTAACGATGCTTTGACAATTTTCTCGTAACAGTTACCAACGATCCCGATTTTCCTCTCTGTGACTACAGCAACAGTTTCATTTTTAGTCCACATATTACATATCAACCATAGCTCAAAAAAAATTACGTATTCGGCACATTTTTCTTAAAAGAAAATATAAATTTTTTATATGGATGCGCGTCTAATTCATGAAAAAAAAAATGTAATGAGGGACTTTTGAAATATTTGTTAACAGAATAAGCTTGAATATCGACGCAAAAGTTGTTCTAAAAATTACTTAAAACAATTCATTATCAAAGTTGTTCATTTCATTACCACAATAGTATCTAAATATCACCCACCTTGCTCAAATACGAGGGTTGTCCAAAACATTCGTGCACTGCAGTTATTGTCGTGAGAGTTATTAATAAAAACAACATGAATTATAAATCACTTGAAGGAGAAATCTGTCTCAAATAAGAAAACATAAGAAAAAGCCGAGTAAGCGGCGTGTCGTGTAAAAGAATGGTCATTAAGTTACCTAAGTAACGATATACCAGCGCGCGACGAAAAATTGGGTTAGTTTATTAATGTAATTGTATTATTGTAAAGTGGTATTTGATTTTTATGTTACAATTTGTTTTACTGTCAATAGAGGAATGATTTATGCAAAGTATTGTATAGTTTTTTTATTGTGTTTATGCAACGTACATGTAAAATATTCCACCAGTGCAGGAATATATTGGACAACCCTCGTCATATGCGGCGGCATTACGCTGACCGGTTTTCATTGTCTACCGACTCTCTGTCTCTCTGTCTGTCTGTCTGTCTGTCTGTCTCCCTCTCCCCCCCCCTCTCTCTCTCTCTCTCTCTCTCTCTCTCCTTCACTCTCTCTCTCTCTCTTTCTTCTACAAAGCGTTTGTGCCATTTAAAAAACCAGCCTTCGTGACACTGAACTTGTCCCGCTTGCCCTTTTAAGTTCTTTGTAGGTATCTGTTGGTGTTTTACCAATATTTAATGAACGTATTTCCAGACATTTAGTGACTGACATTTCCACGTAATTACAGAATTGACGACCACACACAAATGTTTGTTTACGACTGTTTCAATATGGCAAATGACGTCATATTTTCTAGTGACGTTAGGAATACGTACACACACTTTTCCCTGAATTTTAACGTTAATATGTAGTGTTTAAAGAATACCGTGATGCATTAAAATAATGAACTTAAGTAACCAAATTTTTTGTCGTGCGCCGGTATTACGTTACCAAGGTAACTGTATGACGATTCGTTTTCACGACATGCCGGTTACACGTTTTTTTTCTTTTGTTTTCTTATTTGAGATATATCTCCCCTTTAAGTGATATATAATTCATGTTTTCTATCAATAACTCTCACGACAAAAACTGCAGTGCACGAATTTTTTGGACAACCCTCGTATATAAATGCCTCATTTATCTACTTTATTTTTACTTAAGTATGGCATACAATTATTAAGGAATTAATGTCGGATATATAATCATTTGGATGTTTTTTGACAGTACTTTAAGTTACAAGTTCACGGTAAAAAGTATCTTATCCACTGATCCTGATTTCTTCACCCGTCAGAAAAAATTTAAAACTCACATTAAAAAAAAACTGAAATGATTTACATAGATAGCGAGTCGAGAACATGCTATAGCATTTTTGGTCATAATTTGGAAATTCTGTGTCAAATCACTTCTTTTTTAACAAAGGAAATACTGTTTAATAACAAATGTTTTGAATAATAAATAGGACGGATGTTTTCCCACTGAGTTTTAAAATCTAACGCTAGGTTTGAACGCAAAAGTCAAGGGAAAATGATAAAAACAAAACAAACAGACTGATGTGTAAAACATAAGTCAACCAGGCTAACAAATCTATTTATTTAGATAAAAAGAAAGAACTAAAGTATGATTGACAATAATGAAAGATTTGATATGATTCATTTGCATATTCAGGTTAACACTTTTAAATAGTTTTAAAAACATACAGTTTTCAAAGTGATGTGACTTCATTCAGTAAGAAAAAATAGCCTTAGTTTCTTTCCTTTTTTTTATTTTTTTTTACCAATACTAATACATATGTAGAAAATTCTACAACAAATCTATTATTCCTACTTTAGAGACAAACGTATTAAGGCGTATTCTTTGACTAATTCTAGAGGAAAATCCACCGTACTTCTTAAATCACCTAAGGAGTTTGACTTTTTCTTGTAAAAGAAATCTGCTATGTTTATTAATTGTATAATTTTCGGTTATAATTTATTTATATAAAAGATGGACTTACTTCTTAGATCATCAATCTCTACCTCAACTTCTTCTGTTTCTTCAGGAATAGTTTCCATTTTAGGTCCGTGTGATGACGAAAGTCGCAAACCGGCATCAGCGATGTCTGGAGATTCAAACGCATCGTCACTATCCACGTTCCCATCACTGTCAGTATCCGTCACGTCTTCATCAAGATCTTCGGTGTTATCTTTGTCTTTATGTTTTACATTACCCGTTCTAGGCGAATCTTCGGTTGACTTTGTTCTACCGTTTCTTAAATATTTATCCTCTCTTGTAGAATGTAATCCATTAGTTTCATCCAAAATGTTTTCCTCGGAATCATTTAATTTATTGTCTTTATCGACTTTCTCGATTTCCTGGTTCGATTTTTCTTTCTCCTCAGAGCCATGAATAAGTTGTTTATTTCCCGACACACGGAGAACATCTACGTTCCCTTTCAGGTTGTTTTCACCGCTCCTGTACGATCTGGCAATAGCTACGTTCTCTTTAAACTTTTGTACTACTTTCATCATCAACATTCTTGTCTTAATATCCTTCAATTTCACTCGTATCTCTTCTTGATGTCTCGCATATTCTCTCTTTTTAGATCGCCGTATTTCAGTCTTAAGTTTTTTACGTGATTGGTATAATTTCTCTTGTTCTTTATTTAAAGATCCGATCGTGAATAATTGCTCTTTAAACCAGAGGTCTAATTGGCGTCCCATTTGGCCGACGTTGTGTCTTAAATTATGTTGCACTAACGGCTCTAGTTCACTTTTCCTCATGAATCGAAGTCGGTATAAATCTTCTGCCTTACCCTTGGTAACTTCGAAGGGAAACTTCATTTTTTTGTAAACTTTCATTTTTGTAAGATTTTGTTTTGTTCAGTAGTGAAACGATACAATATACGAGTGTTGAAGGAATGTACCGGTGTATTTTAAACTATTTTGGCGAAACTGTGCATGTGATAGAAAAAGTTATTCATTTTAAAATAGTTTTCCCCATTTTTAGGTAAAACAATAGCGTATTTAACTTATAAGGCATTAGCCATTTAAAGCAGAAACGCGGATTACTACTTCGATTTTTTTGTACCGCTCACGAAAAAAATAATGTAATTATAGATAATTATCGTAAAACTGTCCTTTTTCGCATTTTAAATTAGCCAATAATTTAAACAATATACGATAGGTACACTATCCGAACGGCGAGATAATTCTTTCTAAATTATTTCAAACTTTTGATAAATTGTTGTAATTTTCTTACTGTCCCTATCCGAAGTACTTAGCCGTATCCCTTTCTTTATATTGATGAGATAAAAACACCGCGCATTGTTAAATGTTAACCGTTGAATAGTTACCCAAGGATTTTTGTGAAATTTGGAGGTTTCATAATTTGGTCCGAACAATGCATTCATTCCTATGTAACATTAATATATCTACCCGAAGTGTCTTGTTTGCTACATAAATAAACCTGAACAGATTTTTCAATGTAGTTTATTTCATTGAACTGTATTATTTACTCGGGTTTATTTGCACACATTGCCAATAACAAATGCAATTTATTATTAAAAGAAAGTGATTCAAATGATTTTAATAGACAGTACACAAGTAGTTTACGTATATTGTCATACGGGATTATGTGAATACGCAAGAGGAGAGTATACTAAATAGAATTTAAAAAAATTAGTATGCAAGTTTTTAACATCGGTATAAATTTCATTTAAAAAACTAATAATCATGTTTTTCACTGTGAATGTTACCATATGTAAGTTTAAAGGGGAATTAAAATACATCTACTGTAAAATACTTGAATATATCATTCCGATTATATAGCACAGCCAGCCGACGACGTTCAACCAGTGTTGAGCAAAATGTACCGTTTTAAAAGTAAAAATGCGTAAGACTTGTAATATTAATAATATGTTGTATGTAACGGTTACATCGCTGTACTTTTGATGTATCAAAGTCACTTAAGTAAACACTCTTCTCGTGGAGAAATTAATATCGATAAACATGAACCTCTAGGAGACACCAAAAACGTTAAACACTCATCTCTAACAGTCACAAATATCGGTAAACACTCAACTCTAGGAGTCACAAATATCGGTAAACACTCATCTATAGGAGAAATCAAAATCGGTAAACACTCATCTATAGGAGAAATCAAAATCGTTAAACACTCATCTCAAGCAGTCACCAATAACGGTAAACACTCATCTCTTGAAGACACCAATATCGGTAAACACTCATTTCTAGGAGACACCAATATCGGTTAACACTTATCTCTAGAACACACCAATATTGGTAAACACTTATCTCAAGGAGATACCGATATCGGTTAACACACATCTCATGGAGAAATCGATATCGGTATAATCGCATCTCTAGGAGTCACCAATATCGGTAAATACTCATCTCAAGCATAATACAATATCGGTAAACATGCATCTCTAGGATACACCAATATCGTTAAACACTTATCTCTAGGATACACCAATATCGCTAAACACTTATCTCTAGGAGATATCGATATAGATAAACACTCATCTCATGGATAAATCGATATCGGTAAAATAGCATCTCTATGAGTCACCAATGTCAGTAAACACTCATCTCATGGAAAAATAAATATTGATCAACATGCATCTCTAGGAGACACCAAAATCGTTAAACACTCATCTCTAAGAGTCAATAATATCGGTAAACACTCAACTCTAAAAGTCGCCAATATCGGTAAACACTCAACTCAAGGAGAAATCAAAATCGTTTAACATGCATCTCTAGGAGACAAGAATATCGTTAAACACTTATCGCGAGGCGACACCAATATCGGTAAACACTCATCGCTAGGCGACACCAATATCGGTAAACACTCATCTCTAGGAATCACCAATATCGGCAAACACTAATCTCAATGAGAAAAAAATATCGGTAAAATTTGAGCTCAAGAAGTCACCAATATCGGTAAACACACATCTCTTGAAGTCACCAATATCGGTAAACACTCATCTCTAGGAGTCACCAATATCGGTTAACACTCATCTCAAATAGGAAAACAATATAGGTAAACATGCATCTCTAGGACACACCAATAGTGTTTAAGATTTATCGCCAGGCGACACCAACATCGGTAAACACTTATCTCTAGGAATCACCAATATCGGTAAACACTCATCTCAAGGAGAAAACAATATTGGTAAACTCTCATATCAAGGAGAAAACAATATTGGTAAATATGCATCTCTAGAACTAACCAATATCGTTGAACAATTATAGCTAGGCGACACCAATATCGGAAAACAGTCATCTGTAGGAGTCACCAATATCGGCAAACACTCATCTCAATGAGAAATCATATCGGTAAAATTGCATCCCAAGCAGGTACCAATAACGGTAAACACTCATCTCTTGAATACACCAATATCGGTAAACACTCATCTCTTGGAGATACCAATATCGGTTAACACTTATCTCTAGGACACACCAATATCGGTGAACACTTATCTTAAGGAGATGCCGATATCGGTTAACACTCATCTCATGGAGAAATCGATATCGGTATAATCGCATCTCTAGGAGTCACCAATATCGGTAAATACTCATCTCAAGCATAATACAATATCGGTAAACATGCATCTCTAGGACACACCAATATCGGTAAACACTCATCTCTAGGATACACCAATATCGTTAAACACTTATCTCTAGGAGATATCGATATCGATAAACACTCATCTCACGGATAAATCGATATCGGTAAAATTGCATCTCTATGAGTCACCAATGTCGGTAAACACTCATCTCATGGAGAAGTTAATATTGATAAGCATGCATCTCTAGGAGACACCAAAATCGTTAAACACTCATCTTTAAGAGTCAATAATATCGGTAAACACTCATCTCTATGAGTCGCCAATATCGATAAACACTCATCTCAAGGAGAAACCAAACTCGTTAAACATGCATCTCTAGGAGACAACAATATCGTTAAACACTTATAGCTAGGCGACACCAATATCGGTAAACACTCATCGATAGGCGACACCAATATCGATAAGCACTCACTTCTAGGAATCACCAATATCGGCAAACACTCATCTCAATGAGAAATAAATATCGGTAAAATTGCATCTCAAGAAGTCAGCAATATCGGTAAACACTCCAATCTAGGAGTCAGAATATTGGTAAACACACATCTCTTGAAGTCACCAATATCGGTAAATACCCAATTCGGGCCCCGTGTTCACAAAGAAAAGATCAGGATCACTTGATCCAGATTTTATTTTTATTGTTTTATGTTACTAAAATTTATCGTCTTTTGCTAGAATTAAATGGTACATATTCAAAATGTACAAAAATGCTGATTTACAAAGAAAACAACTTATTCTAGGATAAAATCAACGAATAACAAAACAAATACAAAAATAACCGGATCAAATTAAGGATCAATTTTAGGATCAAGATCAATATTTGCATCAACTGTAAAATGCCGTGATCTTGCAAAATAGCAATAAATTTATTCTAAAATTTCATAAACATGTTATTCAAGTCCAGTTTTATCAAGTTAATATTAAATATTTAATCTCTGAACTAAACAATGGAGAATATATGATTTTTTTAAAATTTGATCATGATCTTGGTCCTTATCCTTAAATCTTTGTGCCTGGAAGACACCAACATCGGTAAACACTTATCTCTAGGAGTCACCAATATCGGTAAACACTCATCTCAAGTAGAAAACAATATCGGTAAACATGCATCTCTAGAACACACCAATATCGGTAAACACTTATCTCTAGGATACACCAATATCGGTAAACACTCATCTCTAGGAGATACCGATATCGGTAAACACTCATCTCAAGGAGAAAACATGCATCCTTAGGACACACCAATATCGGTAAACACTTATCTCTAGGATACACCAATATCGTTAAACACTCATCACTAGGAGACACCAATATCGTTAAACACTCATCACTAGGAGTCACCAATATCGGTAAATATTCATCTCTAGGACAAACCAATATCGGTAAACACTTATCTCTAGGAGTCACCAATATCGGTAAACACTCATCTCAAGTAGAAAACAATATCGGTAAACATGCATCTCTAGAACACACCAATATCGGTAAACACTTATCTCTAGGATACACCAATATCGGTAAACACTCATCTCTAGGAGATACCGATATCGGTAAACACTCATCTCAAGGAGAAAACATGCATCCTTAGGACACACCAATATCGGTAAACACTTATCTCTAGGATACACCAATATCGTTAAACACTCATCACTAGGAGACACCAATATCGTTAAACACTCATCACTAGGAGTCACCAATATCGGTAAATATTCATCTCTAGGACACACCAATATCGGTAAACACTTATCTCTAGGATACACCAATATCGTTAAACACTTATCTCTAGGAGATACCGATATCAGTAAACACTCATCTCATGGAGAAATCGGTATCTGTAAAATTGCATCTGTAGTAGTCACCAATATCGGTAAACACTTATCTTATGGAGAAAAAAAACGCTCATCTCTAGTTGTCACCGATATCGATGAACAATCATCTCAAGGTGTCAAAAAAAGATAATTGTAAACATTCATTTCTATTGGTAGCCTCTATTGGTAAAAACTCTTCTCAGGGAGTCGCCTATATTATTTATCACTTATCTCGGGGAACCACCACTATCTGTTATATCTTATCTCAAGTGGCCATCATTATCGGTAAACACTTATTGCTACGAAATAAGACAAAAGATAAATAATTAGTTGTAAACAACTAAATTAAAAATAAAAATCACAAGTTGATAATAAAATAAAACAAAGGTCTTGCTTACTTATTTTTTTTTTTTCGTGAAACTTGAAATATTTTCACTAGTCGGTGTGATATATTCTATATCAATTAAAGTCAAATAGATATGAGCCGCGTCACGACAAAACCAACATAATGGGTTTACGACCAGCATGGATCCAGACCAGCCTGCGCATCCGCGCAGTCCGATCAGGATCCATGCTGTTCGCTATCAGTTTCTCTACTTGTTATAGGGTTTGTAAGCGAACAGCATGGATCCTGATCAGACTGCGCGGATGCGCAGGCTGGTCTGGATCCATGCTGGTCGCAAACCCATTATGTTGGTTTTGTCGTGACACGGCTCATATAATTTAAGTAAACATTGTAATGTGACCTGTATGACAGTTAATGTTCAGTCATCAGTATTTTTACTTAATATTAAGCCATTGTTTTATCAAACTCATCACATGATACAGATGTCCGTATCTATAAACACCTGACGTTCTCACTTAATAAAGCACCTTTTCAATTTGTTCAGTCCTAGAAACTCTGTGCAAAAATGATGAAACTGTGGACGCTCGCTGCAATAGCGTTCGTGTTTGTAGCTAACGCGCACGCGGATGTTATGTCATGCACGTTTACTGACGCTAAAACTGGAAAATCGTACGACTTTTCTTCTCTCGTGAACCCGTGAGTATTGAGCTACATGTACTTATATTTCTTTTTTATCAGAAAAATACTAATGAATTGTTTATAAGCTGTGCACTAAGTACTTACAATGTGCAAAGTGTAAATGCGTATACATGTACGCAGCAATTAAAGCGTACTAGGAAATATCAGAATACTTTGAACAATGTCTTTTGTCAAGAATTCTGAGATAAACGTTGATTGGACATGGAAAATTGCAAAAGAAACGATATAAATGAAGGCATCTCGCAGTAGAGATCTTGATTTATTTATTTATTTATTCATTCATTCATTCATTCATTCATTCATTCATTCATTCATTCATTCATTCATTCATTCATTTATTTATGAGTGTCCTGTTTAGTAGAGCGGAAGTAAACTAGTACGTACACATTTCTATTCAGGGCAGGGTTCTATGCATTTAGCAATGTAATATGGAGCGTTAATGGATACAGTCTAGATTCCCTCGTGGCTGATACACAGGTGAATGTAACCTTCTACCTGCAGGTATGCCGGAACATTCGAAACCCTCCCACCGGATGTACCGACGTTGGCGCCATTTACACGGTAAGTTAAAGAAACAGGATAAAATCGAAACAGTTACAGTCGTTTATTAAAATATATCGACATAGATAAAATATAAACAGTCTTTTATTTATTCATTTTTATTTTAATTGTGGGTTGAGATCTTGTTTACATGTATTCTTAAACAACGCCACGGATGACCTTTTCTTAACTTTTAGACTCTTTATATGTAATATCTTCTCTGTCTGTGATGTATCTTAAACATGACAGCTATATCTTTAACTCTTTAACAGGTCCATTTAAAAATATTGAGAAGATTTTATTTGATCAACTTAATAAAAACCTATATCAATTTTGCGTTTTTTCAGGTAACGCCCGATGGAAAATGTCAGTCTTGGGGCGATGTCAATGTAGCAATTTTCGACCCAAACCCGTATCAGGATGGTATGTTTAGTTTAAAGCTATATTGCTAAAAATACTTGCAACAAATAATGAAACTCAAAGTGCAGGCAAGGCAAGCAACCATGGTTTTCTTCATTAATGACACGTGTCGAGTTACTTCCCCTGAAACTTCTTAATAATAAGTCCTTTACAAAATTAGACGAAAAAAAAAGAAATCCAAAAGAACGCCTTTATTCTAAATTTAAAATATTCCAATGAAACGTATAATATATGTTATCAAATTGGATCCATGCTGGTCGCAAACGCATTATGTTGGTTTTGTCGTGACGCGGCTCAATTATAAATAAACGATGTTTGTAAATATTCGTGAAAGCGAGTGGTGGCGCATAATCAAAGCCTGATCAATTAAATTTTATAAATACACATGTACATACTAATAAACTTTAACGTATACTTAGAAAGCCGACGAAAGTGACTGCTATTTTGTTCTGGAACTTTTTTAGACTTTGTTTTAAAGATTTAATATTGGCTAGTGTTTAAAAGTAAGCATGTACTAAAAATTAATTTGATAAAGCACGGTGTTTGAAAATAATTTAGTCAAACTGTTGATTTAATAAACCGATTAATTTAGCCGATTAATAAGTAAGTGTGGTATGATGCATTTGAAATACTGCAAATCTATTGGTAAAAGAATCATATCATACACTTATGTGTGTTATTCTAAGAATAACAGAGGCATTATGTTTAAATTCTTTGTGAAAAAATAACGATAAATTTTACGGGAGATAGAATGTTCTGTAAATTAGTCTTTTGTCCGAGGGTGTAAATCATATTTACGTAGTTTACACAAACAGTTCAATAAGTTCAATATAATACTTACACCAGCATATTTTCTGTAAATAAGTTGAATGACTGGTGTCCGAGGAGGTTGAAGGTAATTGACCTAACTCGAAAATCTTGCATACATTTCTGTAAATTACATTTACATATAATATTAACAACGCTTGTTGATAATTGCATTGACGCATTCTCTTAGATGACCCCTTATTTAAGTGCTGTTTTATCAAAATCTTATTTTTTAAAGTCCATTTATAATTTAAAAAAGTAACTTATTGACCTATTACTTGAAACATCTTTTTCTCCTTTTGCTTTTTGGCGTTAAGTACAGGTCAATAATGATTTAGCTGTTTTTATGGAAGTCTAAATACAACTTTGCTATTTTTTTTTCTTTTATGACCAATAATTTCACATTCAATACTACAGATAATAAGCATCTAACATGCTCTTTAACGTTTATCTGAACGTATAAAAATTCATTATTTGCACGTTTATTTATTCGTTTCTGATGCAAAATAATTTCTTTTTCTGTTTTTGTTATAGGTGTGAACTTGAAAATGTACCACGGCACAGCAATTGACCACCTTTCGTACAACTCCGCCAACTTATATTTCGTTTGTAACGAGGGTATGAAGAATGTGAAGGCAGACATGCCAATGTTTGAGCACGTGAAGGCATCTATTAATCAGGCCCATTTCAAAATATTTACAAAACTTGCATGCTAGGTGCATCACGCTTTTTACGGGACAATTCTTGAATAAAAATGAAACAAAATGCGTTTTGTAAAAAACATGTATATAAACATTAGATAGAAAACGTAAAAATCTCCACGTACAGATTAATTTTTTCAGATAAATAGTTAATTAGTAGAGTGTTTTTATATATTGTAACAAAATCAGTAGATTGTTTTTATTTGTTTGGGTCGTCAGACCAAACAAATAATGGTAGCGAAATTTCAGACTCTGATGCTGTTAATTGCAAATGCCGAAAGTAGTCCGCTTTTTTGAAGCGGTTACTTCCCTTTATATGTACACTAACGCCAAAAAATTCAGGGGAGATCACTGCGTAAAGATGGTCAAATGACAGGCGCATTAAATTTCAAGCAAAATAGTTCCCGAATGGTCGAAGATTTCTTATATTGTTTTATTCTTTATAGATATACATGCTTATAGTAAGCTCCATGATTATTTACATCTGTGTTAAACAACAGTTAGCGTCGTTACAAACCCTGATTTAGAATGATATGATTTTCATCAGGCCGTTAACTTCGTCTTGGCCGAGGGGTTTGCGCGCTCGCTTACCAAGCGAGAGGTCTTGAGTTCAAATCCCAGTTAAGACAACTCAATTTTTCAAATTGTTTCAGTCAAATAAACAGTGAATTGAATATCATTGTTTCAATTAGTCTTATAGCCAATTTACTACAATTAAAACGCTGGAAAGCATTGGCGGCACTATACAAAAACAAATTGGTTTATAATCTCACAACCTTCACCTTTCAGACATTCTGAGACCCAAACAAATTCAGCGCCTTCTGTGCTTTGATTTTATATTGTAACAAAATCAAACTATGAATAAATGATTATTACAAAAAAAACACTTCGTCCTGTTTTTATTCATATCATTCCGCCATATTTTCTTGCTTTCGTCTTAATTTTGTGAACTTATTTGGACATGTATATATTGACATTCTATACACATTTTGTATTGATGCGTTGTCCTGGGACCCTCTTTCTGACATCATTTACATAAAATTTTGTTCTCCTTTATTTCACTTTAATATATTTTGTATTTAATTTATTTTTGTTAAAACGAAATATTAATTCGTTTAAACGAAAAATAACTCGTTAAGAAACATAAAACAAAATATATACAACTAAAAAAGAGGGGAACAAACCTAATATACTAGTAAATTGTGACAGTTAAGGGGCCCCTTAGCAACGCATCAAGATCATATCTTGGGCCATTCCTTGGTCAAAATATTAAAAACAGTGTATAAAAATGTATCCTAACATCAACTCAACTACTGGATTTTATTATGCTATTATGTTATTACATGTATATAAATGAGCCGTGTCATGACAAAGCCAACATAATGGGTTTGCGACCAGCATGGATCCAGACCAGCCTGCGCATCCGCGCAGTCTGATCAGGATCCATGCTGTTCGCTTACAAACCCTATATCAAGTAGAGAAACTGTTAGCGAACAGCATGGATCCTGATCAGACTGCGCGGGTGCGCAGGCTGGTCTGGATCTATGCTGGTCGCAAACCCATTATGTTGGTTTTGTCATGACGCGGCTCAAATGTAGTTTTGAAATACGACTCATTCCAAACAACTTTATTAACCAAGAACTTGCTGAATTTCTGAAATAGACTTTTCCTGTTTGTCAATTATAAATTGTGGGAAAAAAATCAAGATGAAAATTTAAAGTTTGTCAGCCTACAGTATAGAGTCTGGTTAGTTAGCACATATGTGCTGACTGGCCTAGCTCTATACTGGTTGAAATGGCTATTTACTTTCGGTTTAAGCAGGATTGGGGTTACAGAGTTCTGTTGTTGTTGTTGTTGAACTTAAAATCACGCTGTCATCGGTTCATTCATAATGCGGAAAAAGAAATGCATGCGATACAATGCAATCATACAACCTCGTGGACAATTATCTATTTTATCTATTAGTATGTGTCCAAGATAACAGTTATCACATTGAGAAGATAACAGTGTTCTGTTTACTCATATGAGAGATTATCACATTATCTTATGACATTATAAACATTGGTTACATCAATGGTGCTGAATTATTCATTTATTTCTTGTTGATCAAAGAACATAAACCGGCATAAAAGTTTTGTTATTTAACTTTCGTGTGTTTTAATAAAATAAGAAGGACAAAATGACCGTTCCATGTGTAAAGGTAATCACATTTATTTTAATTTCCCAACCTCTTATGCTGAAAGAATAAAGTGTTATTTGAACTTGAATCACCTTAGTATAATTATGTTTACTCACTTTGGAGAATTTGTCTTTTTATTGGTATACATTGTATTTCAAATTACAAATGGCTGATACTTTTCTTTTTATAAGAGATTCAGATTTAAAATGGACTGGTCTTCAATGGGCACATTTTCCATAAAAAATTAACTTAAGAAGCTCCTGTTGTGCAAAGAATTTGAAATTTACCGTATTTGACCCTTCCAGAGGGTCTCACTTGCACAATCTAACTAAAGTTTAGATATACTTACGTTATTTCTTCCATGTAGATCTGATTGCCACATATTAGTTTTGCCCTCTTTTTGATTCGGATTTCCCGAGAAAGCTATTTTTAGCCATACAATCAAACCGTTCTTTACATATAGGTATGAATATCGCTATCCGTGGAAGTATAACACATTGTTGATTTGTTTTGTTTTTTTTGTCATAAAAAAGTTGTTTGAATTAATTTGAAATAAATAAATTTGAAAAAATAGACTCATTTTTTAATGGGCGAGATTAATTGTTTTGCCAGTTTACCTGCCGGTAAGTTTATCACTTGCAAGACATTATGGAATCATGCCGGTTCAAGAAGGGAAACGTAATCTACTGAATGTTCAGATTCTGTGCAAGTTCAGGTCAAATAAAAAACAACAACAAAAAACTGCAAGTGTGCTGACACGAAGTTATTGACGCATGGATAACATGCAATCACAGAGTGTCACCAGGACCAACGATTGCCAGGTTGAAAAATCATCTATCCTTTCAAACGTTATATTTTATTTGTTTATGTCTATCCTTTTTCAGATGTTAATGGTCTGTTTGTTCGGGGTCATGGTTCAACATGCCTTATCAGAAACAATATTAGCTGATAGGTAAATGTAAAATGTTATCATATATATTTAGAACAAATATGCATGCACGAATGGCCTGGCGATTAAAAATAAATGCCGTTCTATATGTATTATACTAATATCTTGCCGGCCTATTTTTAGTTTTTTTAGATTCTATGTTAAATAAACAAAGGCTGTCGCTATTTCGACAGACACAATCGTATACGAGGAACATTTCAAATATTTGATTACGGGTTCGAATTAAGAATCTGATTGGTCGGGGTAGATTTTTACATTAAAGTTTTGCCAGCAGCCTTAATATAATGTACATATAATTTATAGATAAAAAAAGCCATTTTCCGAAACGTAAACAAACATTTTACATGTATTCGCACAAGAACGCGTTTATATAACGGAAATTTATGTAACAAGACTTATTACATGTTGTTCGGCGGGAGAATCATTACCTTGTTAGATATATAGGCAATGAACCATTATAAGCAAACAGTATACATTTTCCTAATATATTTTATAAGTTTTATACTTTTTGTTCGATCGACAACTCATATTTATCTATTTTTACCATTATAAAATAATAAAACCAAGGGATTGTACAATTTTGCAATTTACCTTGAACGCGTATATCATTCGGTAACGCGTTTATGTACATATATATATTTGTGCGACCATAAGTTTTGCGAACAAAATTTGATTGCATTTTAAAATATCAACATTTGATATCAAAACATAATTACTTGTACACTTGTATTGCGTATTTCCCTTTTCAAACATCTTTCAACATATTTAAGTAAGAATTGTTTTCGTTTAGAGATAAAAAAAAATCCTGTGGCTTTATAAATGACAAGCGGCGTTCTTTGTTGTCAGTCTGTACGTTCGTCCACCTGTTCGTAGACCGTCAATTCCAATTGTAAAATTTCTTTTTGAGGGAACTGATAACTAAGTTTCAAATGAATGTAAAGCTTTAGTTTTTTATGTTCTCGTACGTATCATTTTCTGTTATTTACTGTTAAAGATATATTATGCACAAATTTGATATTTGAAAATTGTTACACTGTCTATTTGTTAATATGGAATCAACATGTTTCAAATTCACACAAGGTAAATATGTTATGTTTTAAATTCTACACACTAGAGGAGGCCACAATATAAATAATAATGTATAGTGCCATTAAAAACGCAGAACTTTTAAAAGGACCAACAGTATTTGACCTATCAAAGGGAATGCAGCTTCCAATAGATAGTTTGTAAAAATTTTTAATCCAAATCAGACTTATTCAGTAAGAGTTTCATAGATTTGTATGATTTCTGCGATTAAACTATTTTACTGAAAAATTAGCAAAGTAATTCTTTATGATTTGAAAAATATCATAATGTAACCGCTTGAAATTCTTTGAAAGACATGGTTGACATTCCGATCAACGCAGTACGTATAACATGCTAATTGAACATACGTGCCAGAATACATGAAATAACTCTAAAATAATATTGACCTTCCAATCGACGAACCTACGCAGTATAACCTGCTAATTTAACATACGTGCCAGAATATTTGTACATTTGTTTAAAGCATTTATTACATTACATATAATTTGTAACATTAACACATACGTTGACCTATTTCAATGTTAAGGATGGGTGAAAATGAATATTAACTTTTATCTGAAACCTATAAGATTCGCGAAACTCCTACTTATCATATTTGAAACATACAATATAAGTGAAATTTTCTTAAAAGTACGCTTTTTATCTATATAAAATCGTCAAAATTCGAAATTTTCAGTATCAAACATTGTTTTGCAAACAAAAAGATAACAACTTTCCTTAAAAACCCAAACAACGAAAGAAAACAAAACAACAACAACAACAACAACAAAAAAAATAAAGTTTCCTTTTAAAAGGAAAGGCTTGCTCAGTTGTGCCATCATCCCTTCCCTTTAAAATCGTTTTTTTTTGTTTCAATTTATTATCACATTTTTTTTTAATTAAGGTATTTGTATATCATAAAGGGTTTATTCAGTTTTTTTTTCTCGAAAAAAAAAAGTTTCACTTTTGAAGGGATAGGTAGGGTAAGCCCAAGACTTGACGAGCACCTGTGCCCATTTGTTTGAGCACCAGTGTTATGCGTGCAAATTTAGACCAAATAGGGACCAGAAGTCCACTGTATAAACGAATATTTTTTGTCAAAAACGAATCGAAATCTATTCTCTACTGTATAGAACTAATAAAGAAAATAATCAATCGTAAAAATACTATCATTGGCTCTCACGTGGAGATCAATTTATCATACTGAAACAACTGTGCACATTTCATTTCCACTTTTTTTCTCAGAGAGAGTCATTCGTTTTGGCAGTTGCTAATTTCATTTATATAGCAGCTTTAGAGACAAGTAAATGCGCTAAAAGACTTCGTTACGTGGTACCAATTAATAAGCATGTATCAACTATGTTACACCTTAAATATATATGATCACAGATATACCGACAACACAGATCAGCACGTGTTATATGCATGGGCTATTTTTAGATTACCCCACCAAGACGTTTAAACTCTCTCAGTAGATCTAAATATATAACTCGATCATGCACTAATATTCTGCGTGATTCGGTCACGATCTTTTGGTAAGCAGGACCGCCCTTTGGAGACGGAATACTACTACAGTAACCATTTTCTATTGTATAAAACTAATAAAGACAAAAAAACAATTATAAAAGAAACAAACTTTTGCGTCTTGAAAAAGAATTGAAACGGAATCAAGGAAAAATAGAAATCCTATTTATATAAACAAACTGGGATTACCGAAGTAACTAAAATAGCTTAGATTTCCGTAATATTACTTCGTCTGATTCCGCAGTATGACGGAATCGCCCGAATTGTCACGATTTCAATCGGAACTACCTCGGCTATTAGCATTAATCCGAAGAGTGACGGAAAGGGCCGAAAAATTGCGATTGGCACGATTGCAGCTGGTTTCCCGTTCAATCAAGCACTAACAAATGTAAGCAGGAAACCACCTAACCGGAACAACTTTTCCAAAACAAAGGCTTGCAGCCGTGGCTGCAAGCCAAAAAGAAAAAAAAACAGAACTAGGAGGCATGACATTCAATGTCTTGTTGACGTTTATATGATATTTTATATACGGAAACTTACGATACAAACCGAACTCTCACGAATCTAACATGTGTTTTGCATTTCCCTAACACATACTTTTTTATTACATGACAATTTTTTAAAGCAAAACATCAAATGGACCCCATATCTTTTTTTTAAAAATATGACATAATGAAACTACCTTAAAAGGATAATTGTGTTTGCAACAGATAAGATTCAAATCTTGTAATTCAAATATAACGTATGTTGGTGTATTTGGTCCGCTTGTAATTCAAATATTATGTTTGTTGGTGCATTTGGTCCAAACAACAAGCTGAATACCCAACTGTTATTCAAATATTTATGCATGCTGGTGCATTTGGTCCGAACTACAAGCTGAATACAAAACTACAAGCTTGTAATTCAAATATTATGTAAGTTGGTGCATTTGGTCCGAACTACCAGCTGGATACCCAACTTCAAGTTTGTAATTCAAATATTACGTATGCTGGTGTATCTTGGTTGAACTACAAGCTGAATACCCAACTACTAGCTTGTAATTTAAATATAAGGTACCGGTAGGCTGGTATATCTTGGCTGAACTACAAGCTGAATACCCAACTACTAGCTTGTAATTCAAATATTATGTATAATTGTGTATTTGGTCCGAACTTCAAGCTGAATACCAAATTACAAACTTTTAAATTCAAATATTATGTTTGCAAGTGTTTTTGGTCCGAACTACAAGCTGAATACCCAACTACAAGCTTGTAATTCAAATATTACGTACCGGTATGCTGGTGTATCTTGGCTGAACTAAAAGCTGAATACCCAACTACTAGCCTGTAATTCAAATATTGTGTATGCTGGTGTATTTGGTCCGAAATACTACAAGTTGTATACCCAACTCTAAGCTTGTTATTCAAATATTATGTATGCTGGTGTATCTTGGCCGAACTACATGCTGAATACCTAACTTCTAGCTTGTAATTCAAATATTATGAATGCTGGTGCTGTTATTGTGAATTACAAGCTGAATACCAGTATTCAAGCTTGTAATTGGCAAACTACAAGTTAAATTACGATGTACAATGTACAAGTCGATCTTCAAGCTGAATTCAAGCTTGTAATCGGCGAACTAAAAATTGAATTACTATGTACAATATACAAGCCGAACTACAAGCTGAATACCAAACTACAAGCTTGTAATTGGCGAATTACAAGCTGAACTACGATGTACAATGTGCAAGCCAACTTCATATACCTCACATTACAATGTATATGTAATCATTAAACTATATGCATTCAGTTGTTATTGAAACATTTGACTTAGACTTTATAGAAAATAAATTTTCAATTACCTCCCTTTATTAACATGAAATGAAAATTCGGTAATATCTTTACAAAACAATGCTTTTTGGAACTTACAATATTGATAAATATTGGTATTGAGCATCATATTTATGATATAAAACCATAAAAAATAATTTAGGATCTTGAAAGCGCAGCAGTACTTTTCCTCTGCATAATTAAAAAAAAAATTCAATAAAAAGTAATTTTAGTTATATCTCGACCGATATATTTACATGTTTTCGAATTTCGGACCTAGTAAATATTTGCAGGAAAAAGACTCCTGTCATGTAATAAAGTTACTAATAATCATTCTGTCTGACTTTGTGAAAACAGTTTGTAAGTATTTTTTTAAATATATATCAGAGCCATTATTTCACAATCTCTGTTCGCAAAATTTAAGTGATCTTTACATGGAACAAAAGTTCAAATAATAATTTAAGTGACGTTAAGTTAAATCTGCCTAAATTAAATTATAATCAAGTATTCTTCATTTTACTAGAATGTTTTTATATTCCTTTTTTTCCAGTGACAGCTACAATAATTACACGAAAAGCTACAATAAAGAATATCATCGGAAGGAGTATGAGAAAAGGTATCATCTGTTTGAATTAAGTTCTCATTATGCAAATGTAAATTAAGAGAAAAAAAAGAAGGAAAGAAAGAAAGAAAGAATAGAAAGAAAGAAAGAAAAGAAAGAAAGCTCACGATTTTCTTTGTCTGCTTCCTTCCGGGGTCGATGTAATCAGGCTACTTTATATATGATATATATAAATCATACTTTATTTTTGTCTCATTCGTGTACATACATTTTTGTACATACATGTACATGTATAATTATACAATTATTCACATTAAGCCTGCATACAACCATTCAATACAAGAATTTCAAGAGACATTTTACCAATGGGAAACATATTCAAGACCTATTACAGTTAGACTGGAATCAAATAGTACAATTACAATGTATATAAACAGAATATTAAAAGGCTACTAGGTTTTCCTACGGTAGCCCATTTATACTGAACCATTCCAGAAAGATAAAAATAAAGCGTTGTTTAAACATTTGTTCTTTTCAACAGATTCCAGATTTGGCAAAACAATGTTGACTTGATTAATAATCACAATAAAGAGTTCTCGCTAGGTCTTCACTCGTACACAATGGGGCTGAACCAGTTTACCGACATGGTATTTATCTTTATATAGTTAAAACCTTCAAGATCGTTCCAACACTTTTGTGAATATCAACTCTGTGCGTGTAACTAAAAATAATTCTTTGAAAATCTGTGCAGAATTTTAACAACTATTTATTCCGATGATTGAAAAGCATTACTAATTCCTAATTTCGTAGTGTATCATTTTTAAGTAAAGTACATTTCTTAGTCAATGCATAAAAACCATATAAGCGTGCAACAAAAAAAGTAGTTCTTTAAACCCGGGCGTAGAAATTTTCAATCACAATCATTGTAAAATTGATTTCAGACTAACGATGAGTACCGGAAATTGATGCTTACATATAAACCGAACACAGGTACCACAGGAGCAAGTGAATTTCCAGTATTTTCAAAACCGTTACCTAAATCTGTTGACTGGAAGGCGGAAGGATACGTAACGGAAGTTGGTAACCAGGTAAAGATTTGTTTGTAATTTGGGATTTTTGACACTTGAGCTTCTAGGTTATTTTTTTATATCTAGTCTAATAGGGATTATGCTCTTGAAAATGACATTGTCCAGCTCATCTGAAGTGACTGTATATTTCAAAAGCTGCTACTGGTTATATCATCAGCTGGATAAAACCTTGCCGGAGAAACTTATCTATATCCAGTCATTAAGTCATATGATGACGTCAAATGTTTTCCAGCATATAGATGCTATTTCATCGGGGAAAAGTAAGAATGAAACCAATTAATTATTCTAAAAACATGATTAAAAGCAGGAATAAATTCACAATACATTTGGGTTGAATGAAATAATGGTTTTAATGTCCGGGATTTGATTATTCGTTTCGCTGCGGAAAGTTGGATTCTTGGCTTCGCTAAATTTTCTCGCCAAAGACACACCTTTCTCCGGCTCACCGGGATTAAACCTTTCCTATCCCGACATTTCAACCCATGTTTCTCTATTTATAATGATAAGACCAGCACTTGATGCCATAAAATATAAATCTGACTTAATATTTATATACATCCGTTATCTTAAAGGCCCATTAAATATCAAACGTATTTATATTTAGTGTCCGGTTACAGTTTGTAAAAGAGTTACTAATTCTTCATAAAGATGGGCCATCTTTTGCATCTTTAACGTTTTATCGATTGGTAATATAATAGAGATCTAGTATATTGTATGAAAGAAAAAAAAGTATCACATTCTGTTGTTTTATTTTTGCTATCTTTTTGAAAAATTATTCTAAATTCAGCATTATTTGTCCAGGTGTTAAGTACAAATGTATTTCACCTGTATTAGATTCATAATTACAACATTTTAAATAACATATTTTCCCTTTCAACGGGATGAAAATTCTATTTATTTCTGAGGATCAGTATGACTTTAATATATGAAATGTATACCCCGGTATGTATTTTTAAATATATGAAATGCATATGTATTTAACGGTAATACTCTTCATTTATATTTCGTTTATTCACGTTACCTATTTCTACTAGGGTCAGTGTGGAAGTTGTTGGGCGTACACCGCTACTGGCGCCCTTGAAGGACAACATAAAAAGAAAACCGGCGTTCTTGTGGATCTATCAGAACAAAACCTTATGGATTGTAGTCAAAAACTGGGTAAGTCAAAGAAAGATACAGACCGGTACTTACTAAAGCCGCCTCATGGAGATTATAGAAACTCATAAGGATTTAAAAAAAAAATCCGCCAAATTTGCCAGACATATGACTTCCATACAATTCCTTTGAATTGTATTAGCTGTAACAACTTTTATCAAACCTCAGAAGTAAATACATTTTATGATCAGGCTGCATGATGTATCTTTCATTAAAACTTTCCGCCAGTCCGTGGGCGAGTGGTTAATGTCGTTCACTTCAAACCACTTGCCTCTCACCGCTGTGGCTTCGAATCCCGACAGGGACTTTAGATTTTTCATGTGACGAAGCTATCCAGGTAGCTAACGGAACGTCGGTGGTTCTACTCAGGTGCCTGTTCGTACCTGAAATAATGCACGGAAGGGCACCTGAGGTCTTCCTCCACCAGTAAAGCTGTCGTCGCGATATGGCCTATACTGTGTCGATGTGACGTAAAACCCAAAACAAAACAAAACAAAAAGAAAATTGCGGCTTTGATACGGAAATCTTCTCCAAGTTAACTCAACTAGGGATGCGTTAGATTAATTTTCTTTCATATGGTTTTTTTTCCAGGAAATCAAGGATGTGAAGGCGGTTTTATGGATTACGCATTTAAATACGTGAAGCAAAATGGCGGAATTGACACAGAACAGTCTTATCCATATAACCTTACCAACCCAGGGGTAAGTTTAAATAAAAAAGTATGTGGTACCTCCATGGCTACTGAAGGAACGAATTCTGCCGGGAACTATTTATTCTTACACGTGAGGAACTGGCTTCCAGAATGACGGTTACACTACACAGGCGTCCGCTTGTTACTAAAATATTGCATTGAGGGGCACTGCAGGGGCTTCTCTTGACACTCATTTGGAAAAGCTTATAATATAACAGATAAAACATAGCATGAAACCCTCCCAGGGTCCGTGCTTTAAAATGAGAGCTCTGGTATCTGTTAATATGTGATCTCTAAATAATATTAATCATCAGTCTTTTTGTTATATTTTATTTTATTATTTTGAATTATATTGTGATCATAAATCGTAAGTTTTTTTTTTACTAAACCAGTATTATGAATATATTCTTAATGATAAAATGGCTGTACTAAATTAAAGGATGAAATATAAGTCGTTTACGCTACTGCATCTAGATTATAATTATTTATTTATATATTATCTTTATCTGTTGATAGACTTACACGTGCCGGTACCGGAAGTCCGACAGTGGAGCGACTTGTACTGGCTACGTCGACCTACCTAAAGGCAATGAAAAATCTTTGCAAGAAGCCGTGGCATTCATTGGACCTATTTCCGGAGCTGTTGATGCGAGTCATATAGGTTTGCGACCATAATAATTTCCTTTTTTTCTATTTGGGCGGTTTCAGTAGTCTTTTCTCGTTTAGGATACACGCATTCTTTACTTGTGGACCAAACCCCGATTTTCATAGAATGGCAGAAACGTGTCACATTGAGCGTTCCATGATACATGTAAATGCCAAATGTGCCCTTCTATGGATATTATTTATTTTTAGAAGCCGGTGCCAGGGGGCGTGCATGGGCGGTAGCTTGCAATTAACACTAACGTCAATGCACAGGCTCATTCAATCCGAACGTGCAACATTTTCAGTTTTAACGTTTTTGTGCATTTTGAAGAGATTTCGTCTATGTTTTATATATAATTCAAAACATATAAGGCAATTTAAATGTTTAATGCTACATGCTTATACGATCGGGTCTAATACTTTAGAAAAAGTTATGTTTGTGTCATATATTCGTGTACTACATTAAGCATTGCATGTGCTTTATAGCGTAGCAAACATAGAAGTCGTCATATGACGGTCGATATGTTGAGATGACTGACACTCCAAATCACGTACCCTTAACCGCCGTGTGTTCGAATACCTCTTTCATTCCAGGAGGCTATCCAGATAGCTTACAGAACGTCAGTGGTTTTGCTCACATGCCTGCTCTTGTCGAGTGTTATTCAATTATCAGTGTGAATGAAGAGGTAGAGCGACTTTTGTCTTTTCCTCTAACTTAATAACCTTTATTTGAGCCGCGCCATGACAAAACCAACATAATACGTTTGCGACCAGCATGGATCAAGACCAGCCTGCGCATCCGCGCAGTCTCATCAGGGATCCATGCTGTTCGTTTACAAACACTATAACAAGTAGAGAAACTGACAGCGAACAGCATGGATCCTGATCAGACTGCGCGGATGCGCAGGCTGGTCTGGATCCATGCTGGTCGCAAACCCATTATGTTGGTTTTGTCATGGCGCGGCTCATTTGATGTGGTTTTTTTTAATTTTAGGATTTCAGATGTACAAATCCGGTGTATATGACGACCAGCATTGTTCGTCTACTATAGTGGATCACAGTCTTGTTGTTGTTGGTTATGGTGTTGAAAATGGAAAGGAATTTTATAACTGTAAAAATAGGTATGACGTAAACATTATATACATGTACATGTGTTTCTTAATTTCTTAATTGTTGAAGAATATCCGATTCAAGGAAACAAGAATTTAAATTTTTTTTTCGCTGTTTAGCAAAACTAAAAAACCGGGCAGATTTCTAAAGCTAAAATTTCTAGAAAAGGAACATATTCTATTAAACAACAAAACAAGAAAGTGACGTTAAAGAAGTCAAATATTGATGTTGGCCTATTTCTTTCTATATTATTTACGCTTTGCATCGTTAACCTCATTTCTAATGATGAGGTATGTAACTATGTTCGGACAAAACTCAACTTACATAAAACACCTTTTCAGGAAATGATTAGTATCTGAACTTAATAGAATATTCAATGAAAGTCCTTCATTTTTTTCAGTTGGGGAACATCATGGGGTGATCAAGGCTATATAAAGATGGTACGTAACAAAAACAACCAATGTGGAATAGCGAGCACCGCCAGTTACCCGACTATGTAAACACCGTGTTTGTAACAAGGAAAACCATTGGTTCATTTTCATTCATGGATTGATGTAAAAGTTGTGCATGGACGTATTACAGCAAAGACCATAATCTTACACAAAACAGTTCTTTCCTGTAGGAAATAATACTAGGAAATTATAATGCTTATCTCCATCATATTGATAAAATTTAAGTTTGCGTTCATGCTACTAGTAGATCGACACAACGCTTTGAGTAAAAATTTGAAATGATTGATGTGCCAATGTTCGCAGAACAAACAAATAGATCTACAAGACAGTTTTATAGTACATTTTATTTGTAATTACATGTAAACATCAGCTGGGTCGATATTTTGTTGATTTGTCTTCCGATCGATACTATCGATTGAATGATAATATCCAGAATTTGTAGACGATAGCGTCTCGGATTTGGGCTCTTCCTTTACGATTGGTTCTTGCTGTGACGTCACTTCATCTGCGTTGTAATAGACGCTGTCTCCAATCTTCGTCATTTGCATATTTTCTGTTTTAGTCTCCTTTTCTGGAATGTTTTGATTATCTTTGATGAATACGATACTGGGTGGGGGCGGTGTTTCCGTACAATATGCGCAGAGTAACCACAGTATAATGAACAGGACAAGTGCACAGCCTGCAGCAATTCCACCAACCATTGCGTCATGTTTTAACTCTTTCGTCAGTTCCGGTCCATAATAAGGTCCATCTACATTGATCCCTATTTTTACAACCTGCGTTCCGTTTACCCCTGTATCTACAATGCAATAATATACCCCGAAGTCTTCATCGTCAAGCCTGGCAATGGACAAAAGGAATCCATTGTTTCTGACAGCGATTTGGCCATCTTTAACATCTGTATCCGATCCAGTCAACCAAACGTCACTAGACGGCATTATCCAAGCTTTTACAGAATGAATGACGGCACTATGTTTATAGAATTTAGCACAGTCTAAATCTACTTTCTCAAAATATTCAACGTTCTGGTTCCATGCATCATTTTCGCCACGCACGAGTGACAGTGGCAACTCGGGTAATGCAAGGAACAACAGGAATGAAATTTGAAACAAAACCATTTTTGTTTTTGGTTATGTCCGCTATCAGACGAACTAAATTTTCCTCTGCCTTTTAAAGCGTACAGATGTGTGCAGGCAATGCTTTGCCGTATTCTCAACGAACGATCGTTTTTACAACGTCATGTGACGTCACAGAATATCTATAAAGAAAACAAAAATCTTGATTAGCGAAACGTTAATGAAATTGAAATAACCATAGCTGTGATACTAGAAAGGGGGAAATTGTTTTCGATTTTTGGAATAAATTATTGCCAACTTATACCTTTGTACAATCGATCTTGACAAAACTCTTTTATATATTTGAACCTAAGTATTCAACCAATCAACTACAAGACTATTGAAAAAAGTTAAGATATATTCCTTACTACCTTGTCAATCAGACGCTGTGGTTGCATAACCTATTTGAGCCATTTTATAATATAATTAACAATAAGAGCACCAAGACCAAAAGAAAATTTAACGTTCTTACCTTAACTTACAAGTCCTTTCTGTTAAATGAGAGTAACAGTGGTATAAGGGTAAAACATATTCTTCACCGTTATCATAGGTTCACCCGTAAAACACAGAACATGACAACAACACTGTAATGTTATCAAGATATGTACGTAAACATTAGCAAGAAGGAAGTTCTTTATAGATACCAAAATATTTGCTAAGTGTGTAAAGAACGTGAAGGTTAAATTTCAAGCGCTTCATAAAAATAATTTTGTCATTACAAAAACAGTGAACTCCGTACTACTCGGCATGAGTTTTGAAGAGGTCTTTGTAGTTTCTCTTTGTATAATGGTTGTTTTATAAAATTCATAAACTCTGGAACAGAACAGAGCATAATTATCTTTTAAATTATTAGCTTAAATTACATATCAAGCAACACACGCATGAGTATACATAAAAACAGTGGTTTTTCCCCTTAAATTAACACATAACATTATTTTATATAATACTTCTACATGCAGTACCATATTAGGTATTTATTAAGAGGAAAACTAACAATTATCACGAGAGATAGAAAAAAACGACACATTTTAATTAGGGCTTGTTTAAACTGAATACCGTACCTTTTCAACTTTACCAGATTATTTCAGGCGCGAGTGGGAACCTGTCGGAGAGATATCAAAAATAAAAATAAAAATAATTAAATATTAAATAAATAAATAAATCGTAAAGATAAAAAACCACGCAATCGAGATAAAGAAAGATAATAATAAATGAATGTTCTTTACTTTTGAACACGGTATGTATCCATGCATCCATAAATGGATACTTCAAGGAAGATAAACTTGTCAGCTAGCTCGTCTAAGCTAGGCTATGTCAATGTAGCTACTTATCTCGCTTTGGTATCTCAAGTAAAAGTTTGATTTAAAATATGATTTAAACAATAAAGATTAGATTTTTTTTCACGAACGGTGAAAAGCGATGGGTCGAAATCTTTGGTGATTTTCACCATGACCCAGATGCTTTTTTTAAAAAACCATAGCATTTTTATCACATAGATGGGATTGAAAATTGGCACATTTAGTGACAGGTCAAAGTAGAAACAATTTACTAGTCTTCCAGTCTGTTATTATCACCATGACCTGGCAGTATCATCGAACTCTGGAGGACTGGATACATACCGTGTTGAAATGCCGTTACAGATTTCATATTTAACAACCTTTGAATTGAAATGAGCCGCGCCATGACAAAACCAACATAATGGATTTGCGACCAGCATGGATCCAGACCAGCCTGCGCATCCGCGCAGTCTGATCAGGATCCATGCTGTTCGCTTAAAAACTCTATAACAAGTAGAGAAACTGATAGCGAACATCATGGATCCTGATCAGACTGTGCGGATGCGCAGGCTGGTCTGGATCCATGCTGGTCGCAAACCAATTATGTTGATTTTGTCGTGACGCGGCTCAAATCATCAATAAAACTGTTCATGTATTCCACGAAAGGGACCGTCATCTAGGCCTTCAGATTATATTTTATGCTTAATTTTTACACCTTTGACTGGAAGGTTTGATATTGGAAAAACGTCAATGACCATCTATGACATATATAATAACCATTTAAAATTCACATAACATGTTATTAAATCCTATTTTAACTGGATTTCAAAGATAAATACATAGAAGTTTCTTATTTATTCTTCTTGTTTTATATTTTGGATAACCTTTATTGTATTTAAATGAGGTCTGATGAAAGCGTTTCGGCCGATTATTTATATTGTAAATATTTGATAAGCACCTTTAAAGTAAAGAATAGTATACAATGTGAAGGCTTCGTTTATACTAAGATATTTATGATAGTAAATCTTTTCTAGATAAACATAATAAAAACCCATGATGACTCTGTTATGATAATAAAACACGAACTTTACATGTTTGTACACAATTTACATGTACAGTGTACATATTCAGTGTACATGATTTAAATTATATTTGTACATAACTTTCAATTTTTTATCAATCTAATGTGCCCGACAACCTTATTACTTTATACACTCTCTTAAAATTGATTATAAAGCAACAACAACAACAACATAAAAAACATCGTCGGATACCCACGGCCAATCCATTAACATTTATCTGATAACATGTTATGTTACATGTTAATCATTCGTGGGTATCCGATGATGAAAACACCGTTTTTATCAATTGAAGTCGCGTCTTTGAAAGGGTTGGGTATGACCGGTTCACAGGTCCAGTTGTTCGACCGTATGGCGTCCCACCCTTTCTCCCTTTGTTAACCTCTTGGATATTTCTTCTTTCTTCTTCTGATTTTAATCATTTCCAAAACCGTGCCCTTATAAAATGTGTTCCCATACTCCCTATAAAACAAGCGGCAGATCTATGCATGCTTGTACGAGAAACGCGGTGGAATATTTTTAATTACAGTTGTAAATGTCGGTAAAACCTGACTACTTTATCAATCCGCATTTGAAGTTATATTCACGACAATGCATACATTTGAATGATAAATTATTTAAATACCTTCAAAATAATGTTTACACATGATCACTTTATGTTATCTTTATCTTAACTGTTGAAATACCGTATTATACTATTTAAACTGCTCTCATTTGGAATGTTCAGTAATAGCTAGTTCGCTTTAAAGTGAACTGGTCTATAAAGGAAGGTCTGTTATACCATGATTAATTATGTTTATTGTGTAAAATATCAAGGGGACAACAAAACAGGAAGATGGTGTATGTACGTGTAAGATACATGATCCGGTATGACATATCCAAATATAGTCGATAATAATTTGTTCTAAAGGAAAATATTATTATTCAATATTCAATATTTATAAATGTTGTAAAACACTTAGAAACTATCAGAATTTTGTTTTCAATGAGCATTTTATATGAATATTGTTTTTATCAATAACTTTATGGAAAATGGGCAAACTGTAGACCAATTCACTTTAAACAATAATTTAATATCTTTGAAAGCTCGTACCACCTGAAAGGCCATTTTTATGGCATATTATAGCAGTTTTAATCGTAAGTCTACATGTCAGGAGACAAGACTAGCCCCCCCCCCCCCTATTCCCCTATTCACAACAAAAGGACCAGGACCAATGTCAAACGATCTTGATTTTATTTTAATTGCTTTTTATGCCCCCATTTTGAAAAAAAGGGGGTATATTGCTTTGCACTTGTCGGTCCGTCGGTCTGTCGGTCCGTCGGTCCGTCGGTCCGTAGACCAAATGGTTTCCGAGTGATAACTAAAGAACCCTTAGGCCTAGGAACTTCAAACTTGGTATGGTGATTGGTCATGACCAGTAGATGACCCCTATTGATTTTGGGGTCAAGGGGTCAAAGGTCAAGGTCACATTGACCTTGAAAGCAAAAACGGTTTCCGATCAATAACTAAAGAACCTTAAGGCCTAGGAACTTCAAACTTGGTATGGTGATTGGTCATGACCAGTAGATGACCCCTATTGATTTTGGGGTCAAGGGGTCAAAGGTCAAGGTCACATTGACCTTGAAAGCAAAAACGGTTTTCCGATCAATAACTAAAGAACCTTAAGGCCTAGGAACTTCAAACTTGGTATGGTGATTGGTCATGATCAGTAGATGCCCCTATTGATTTTGGAGTCAAGGGGTCAAAGGTCAAGGTCACATTGACCTTGAAAGCAAAAACAGTTTTCCGATCAATAACTAAAGAACCTTAAGGCCTAGGAACTTCAAACTTGGTATGGTGATTAGTCATGACCAGTAGATGACCCCTATTGATTTTGGGGGTCAAGGGGTCAAAGGTCAAGGTCACATTGACCTTAAAAGCAAAAACGGTTTCCGATCAATAACTAAAGAACCTTAAGGCCTAGCAACTTTAAACTTGGTATGGTGATTGGTCATGATCAGTAGATGACCCCTATTGATTTTGGGGTCAAGGGGTCAAAGGTCAAGGTCACATTGACATTGTAGGTAAAAACGGTTTCCGATCAATACCTAAAGAACCTTAAGGCTTAGGAACATTAAACTTGGTATTGTGATTGGTCATGATCAGTAGATGACCCCTATTGATTTTGGGGTCAAGGGGTCAAAGGTCAAGGTCACATTGACCTTGTAGGTAAAAACGGTTTCTGATCAATAACTCAAGAACGCTTAGGCCTAGGAACTTCAAACTTGGTATGGTGATTTGTCATGACCAGCAGATTACTCCTATTGATTTTGGGATCAAGGGGTCAAAGGTCAAGGTCACAATGACCTTGTAAGTAAAAACGGTTTCTGATCAATAACTAAAGAACGCTTCGGCCTAGAAACTTCAAACTTGGCATGGTGATTGGTCATGACCAGCAGATGACCCCTTTTGATTTTGGGGTCAAAGGTCAAGGTCACATTGACCTTGTATGTTAAAACGGTTTCCGATCAATAATAAGAGAACCCTTAGGCCTAAGAACTTCAAACTTGGCATGCTGATTGGTCATGACCAGCAGATGACCCCTATTGATTTTGGGGTCAAAGGTCAAGGTCACATTGACCTTGTAGGTTAAAAAGGTTTCTGATCAATTTACTAAAAACGCCTAGGCCTAGGAACTTCAAACTTTGTATGATGATTGGTCGTGACCAGCAGATGACCCCTATTGAGTTTTGGGTCAAGGGGTCAAAGGTCAAGGTCATGACCAGTAGATACTTTATAACCCTTATTAATTGTTTGATCACTGGGTCAGACATCATGCATAATAACCTTATCACATGACTAATTGGCTGCTGATGGGGGGCATACATGTTTTACAAACATATCTTGTTTTAAACTAACATTGATCATATTGGGCTAAAATTATATGGTACTTAAACATTATGTCAAATTTCTGATTTGTAAAGAAGCAAAACTTAAACTGATGAATAAGAATAGAAAATATAAGACTGTTCCGATAAAAGAATCAATTTTAGGACCAAATAAACCATATCCTTAATACTAGGTCAATTTATAACTGGGCATTTCTTTTTGCGTTTGTCACGATAAACTTTAAAATGTTTTTAAATTGTAAAGCAAGTGTTCATATGTTTATAGTATAGAAATAGTCAGTTACTAATTATGTTCATGTTATCATAGATACAGAATGCACATTTATGATAAAAGTATCTTGATTTGAAACAAACGAACGAATGAGCGAAAATCGTTTGAAATAAATTTGTGAATTTATTTGTATATTTACGGTAGTATTAATAAATACAAACATGTTTATAAATGAAATCAAAGTTATTAGATAAGGGAAGCTGATATAATTCAAATACACCATTCAATTAAAAAAAGGAGTACATGTAAGGGGTACAGATTTAATTTCGAAATTTGGATAAATACCAAAGGCTCTGAAAATGCAGAGGTTATAGGAAGTGTCCAAGTTGATGATTTAAAGCTGAGAAGGTAAGTAAATTTAATATTGATATGTCAATAGCATTTTTTAAAGTGGTGTACTTGAGTGCCACATTTCACTATTAATTCTTAATATTTAAATGCCTTCGCGACCGATTTTAGGCGTATCTTGAATAATATTCCCCGTACTATTTCGAAGATCGAATCCAGTCCGGGACGTTGATCGCATGTATCCGAAAGGTCGATAATTCTACCGATGTGTTCGTTTGAAAAGGACACTTAGACTATTTTGTGCATTTCAGCAAAAATCTAAAAATGGCACACATGCCTACCTTGAATTTCAACATGTAGCTAATTTGGGTACCACTCTTTTAAAGGCACTCCACTGAGGTCTAAAATCTCAAAAACATGAAACTTGAATATCACATGCACATCTATAGATCATTAGGGGCGCTTAAAACAAACAGATACCCAAAAGATGACAGAGAAAATGCATCTCAAAAATATATTGAAAATCGTATTTTTGTCCAATTTAACGCTTTTCAATTTGCATCATTTTTACAATTAGAAGATCTACAATTTTGCACATATACGTTGTTGGTTTAGATAAACATCAAATAGAATATTAGCCTTGAAAATAAAGTCTAGTCCCATCAAGTAACAAGAACCTGGGATATACGATAACTTATCGTATGTCCCAGCAAGAACGCAGTTGGGTCCCTTTAAATTGAGTTAAGGGTGTCTGCCATGTTTTAACCATATCATAAACTAGTTAGTCTTAGAACGGACTTAAATAATTTATAAAATTTTGAAAAATGTTATGTACAATGGCGTAAGCCTTCTTACAAGTTTCCTCACCCCCTCATTTATGGGAATGTAAGCCACGTTTACGTAGATAGCCCGAGTCTGAGTTTCTAAATTTATCAAACTGTGTCCCTGAACCTTATTTTCAGTTAAGTAAATTTTATAAATTGCCCTCAAAAGTGGCTGAATGTGACTGAATTTTAAGAGTATGATTCTTTCATTGAAATCAGTTCGATTTTCGGACAGATCTAATTCGGATAACCAAGTTTGAGTTAGGTTTAATAAAACGGTCTTTAAAAGTCTGTGATCGAAAAGTACACATTTTAACATTTTGTTTTTGTTATATTTCAGATGAAGTGGCTAACGTTTGCCTGTTTCCTGATTGTTTTACTCGGCACTATTGCTGAGGATTTCCATTTAGAGTATTACTCAACTGTGACACTGGAATGCGATGACACTAAATATAACTTTACAAATTCTGGTCAAATCAACAAGCGCTACTGGGGGTCCCCAAAAAGGACCTTTTTTCCCCCCTCTCAGGTAGCGGCCTTTTTTAAAATTGAAACCCAAAATTTTTTACCTTGATGTAAAAAAAAATAAGCGATGTGACTTTGGACTTTTTCGTATCTTAGTGGTTCTGGAAAAATCGGGACAAATTATGCAGGGTGTAAAACCATGGTCCTTTTTTGAGATCTGTTAAAGAAGTACAGGCACAATGCTAGATTGGTAAATCGCGGCGGGTTTTCCCTTTTCTAGTAGGGGCCCCGGAAGCTTTTTATATTTTTTGGCAATTGGGGTATCAAGGAAAAAAGTAAAAAGGAACAAGGGCCGTAGACGAGCTGTTTAAAGGATTTGAGGATATGATTCAGAGCTTTTAACTTTGGGTTTAGAAAACGTAAAAATTAAAGGAAAAGCAAGGGGGGAGCAAAAATTGTTGGGAAATTTTATGATGAAAAGAAAATGTAGCAGCTCCAGTGTTCAAGCGTTTTAACTGTTGTGTCTGAAACATTACGTTAGCATCACAAGAAGCCAATGGTTCTAATTGTGCATTTCAAAGTTCAATGATATTCTATGATAGAAAACAGAAAACAGTGTATACAGAATATTTACTTACAAAATGTACTCGTATTTTCATAATTGTTTTATAGCAGTGGAATTATATTAGAACAAACTATTTAAGCGTTTAAATTACCGGCATTATTGTGCGTAAAAAATAGTGACAGGTTCTTCTTGGCATAAACAAACCTAAGTTATATTTAAAACTTTCTTGGAAACAAATAAAAAGAGAACAATATAATTATTTACTTAGTATGTGGTTTTTATTACTAAGATGATCTTGAATCCAACAGTGATTCTTTATTTACTAAGCATAAAACATTGCATGTTTTCTATTCTATAATAAGACTAAATGTAAATTTCAAATATACTTGTACCATGTCCTTGTAGAACGAGTTTGTTCGTTTGGCTATTTAAGAAATAGAAAATAAGACACCGTATTTCAGTTGCTTTCTCTCGCAAAAAATAAAAAGTTAGAAAAATTCTGGTCAAATCTACAAGCGCTACTGGCTGGTGCCCAACGGAGACCTTATTTCAGCCTCTCAAGGTAGCGGCCATTTTGAAATTGTACCTTGACTGTAAACAAAATAAGCGACGATGAGCAGAAGAAGGGAAACAATCTGAAGGTCTGTTGAAGCATCACGAGTTGTCTCTCTTCGATATATATAAAAGCAGTAGAAACTACGAAATAGTTCGTATATTTCCGTCATGTCTTATGATTGTTTTAAACAGTGTCGATTATCACTTTAGCATAATTATTAAAATAATTAAAAATCTTGTAACGTTACCAAATCAAACTATAACAACGTTTTCTGCAGCTTATAATGGACAACTACTAAAATAGAGATGCGTAGTGGTCATCTTTATAAACATTCTAACTGACAAAGATATAAAACCTTAAATATCTCCTCTAAAATTCCCTTTTATAATTAACATTCTGAATAAAGGTAAAAACATTATAGTTTGGCATCAATTATACCAGCTACGGTGTTCCCTTGATCAGTACAGGAAAAATAACGACGTGGATGCTAAACATAAGGGAGATAACTGCAGCGATGCCGAATAATGAAGGGGAGGTCACTGCACGGATGGAAGGTCACTGCGTGCGTGGATGCCAAAGAATAACGGGGAGTTTTACTTTTAATGGATTTATTATCCTGATTTATAAATGATTTTTTAAAACTCCTATAATTGTATTTCTTTAAAAAATCATTAGAATATAAATCTGCAAATGGCTAAATTATCATATTTAGTTTTAGTTATAAAGTTCATAAGGCCTTATAAGAAAACGGACACCTTTACTTTTTTGTAACACAAAAACAGTTATTTCCGTTATTCAAACTGCTATTCTTATCGTTTGCTATGTACAGATTACAAACTACACTGTTTATGATTTTTAAAATATCTTAAATCTATATATTTTTCTCTGTAGCAAGAACTGACCGGAAATTTATAGATGTGCAGAGCTAATAGTAACACTTTCTCCATGAGTCGGACTTCCGGTTTTGTTCACTTTTGCATACATTTCCTCCGCGTTCGGCTGTCGCGGTTCTGAGTGATGAACGCTACGGTTGCTTATTGCATACTCATGCTCCGCGTGACGAGATTTCATGTTGTGGGTGTAATAATCAAGATTTGACAGCGTGTCTTCATTTTTGGACTTCTTTTTACGACATCTGCAAGCAACACATACAATTATTACAATAATCACAGCCGCGCCTGCGCTGATGCAGCCAATCAAAAGGTTTCTTTGAAACGTTTCAAGTTGTCTTTTATATAACGGCCCATCCTCGTTTAAAGCCACCCGGATCACACTTGTGGTGTAAAAGATATTCTCCCATAACAATACACAGTGATATACACCAAAATCTGGGTCATCGATACTGTCAATACGTAGGTTAAATATGTACGGATCTGGTGCCTCGATATGATATCGCTCACTTCCGGGAAAGTTGTCAGCTAAAACGGAAGTATTCGGAAGAATCCAGTATTTCTTGAAGGGAATAGTTATGCCAGGGTAGGTCAGGTTATGAAGTGTAAAATTACACGGTAGTGAGGCGTTTGTGAAGTATTCTGCTTCGTAACTTTCCCGTGCACCTGCAGCCTCGTATGAAAATACGGACACAACTGTCAAGAGAACGTAAATAGTCCGGCTAAAGATGAAGGTCCTCAAGACCAGCTGAAAAAGCAATATAATATCTACGCATTATCAAGGAATGTAACCCCCATAACATATGTCTGTAAACATCGAGACAAAGAGAGAGAAAAAATTATGAAAATTCGTCTTAAAAGAAAGTTTTTGATATAAAAGCAAAAAAAATAAAAAAATAAAAGAATGAAACATAATTTTTGTGCAGGCAATGAAAACAGCTTTCTGTAAACCGGTTACTAGATGCCTCTTCCATTTTATGTTTATTTAAATTCGCATAGAACTATTTACATATTCATATTGCAAGCTATTCTTAATACGTACACTATGAACGCAAAAATCGTAATGCTGTAACCGTGCCTTCTTCGCAAATTAACAATTTCATGTATATGTTAAGAAAATTGTACTAATTATATCAATTTCCGGTAAAAAAAAAGAAATATTTAGTGAGCAGAGCACCTTAAAACAGAACCTGAGAGTGTACATATACCATTTAAGGTTTTAAAATTTTTATGCTTATATCTGGCCGTTCCAACTTATTAATTTGAGAAATAAGGCTGTGTGATATTTTTTCCGACTAAAAACCGATTGTAATGATTCAATAAAGAAAACAATAAGTAAAAAAATCTTTAAATTTAAAAGGAAAATTCTTTATTGCTATAATACTAAACACAATATTAATAAAGAAAAAGTCAAATAGCTAGTTTACCTCGTTTTCCATAATTCTATCCGAAATATCTCGACTGTCCGACTATTGTATCAGTAAAGTATGACTTCATATGGTAGATCTGTGGTTACAATGTAAATGTCCCACCTATTTACACTCTTGTGTATTTAATGGAAAGATACAAGACTTTCACTCTAAACTGTTTGCTTAAAAATATTTAAACAATAGCTTTATATACATATTTGATAATAAACACTTGAAAAATATACAGTAAATATGTGAAATTCTTTTATGTTCGCAACAAAAATCAGAATAACTAATTTCAAAAGAATTTTTGGTTCTGATACGAAATTTGTACCCTTTGTGAATTCGAATCTTCTTCTTGTTTGTTTATTTTATTTAACTTGAATGACAATGTGTCAAAACACGTACGGTAAATGACGAACCTTACGCAAAGTACATTTTAAAGTACATGTAAACTGGTCGTTCTCTCGTTTAATAACTGGTCTTTTACGTATACTTTAAAGTATAAACTTGAATCAAAAGTACTAAAACGTTATTTAAGGATTACACATTCTTTAATTATATTGATAATAATAATTATAGGTTTTGACATATAAATATCATCTTGACTTCCAAGAAATCTGCAGAGGGTTAGACAGAAATTTGGTCAGAATTAAGAATTAAATTGAAAATCGATTTTTGTGACTCTTGAGTGAAGGGAGCTGAAAGGTTTTTTGAACAACAGAAATTTTGATTCTTGAAAAACGGGATGAGGAAATTATCTGAAAATTTACACACAAGTTATTGGCACGGACCTACATCAAATTGTATACAAATCTCGGGAAAATATTTCTAGTTCCGTCATGTCCTTAAACCTCAATTGAGTCTTTTTGAAATGCGACTTAAAGCGAAAATGTGACAGTAGAAAGTTAATGCATATATATTTTATATTTTATATATTTAAGATATAATTATGCTGAAATGTGATGAGCCCGAAGATTCATCAGCGCTATTCTTGCATAATAAAAACGTATAATAAAGACCCGTGCCCGTGTGATATCATCAGTTAATGCATGTTTTCTTCTCTATAAATGTATACCTGCATGTACTTTTTTATGCAAGACTTTAATTAATAAATTATATGAATAAAAATGAAATCGGATCAATTGAACAATAAGAAATGACTAAATGATATATAATGCATATATTTTAATCAACATATAAAAGCAGCAATGAATGTTGAATTTCAAGTACATGATTATAAATCAATATGTAAAAATAAATTTGACGAACAGTTTCAAAACATAATTGATCAAAAGAGGAAAATAGACGAGTCTTTTGTAAAGGACTGTGTAGTGATGAAATAAACTTTCAGGGAAATAAATTACAGGGATAATAAAAGGTCTGATTCTTGTTTTTATACTAAAATTTCACAGCATCGTAATGTCCTTTTCCGGGATATCTGGTGTCGTCCTCGAACACATATTTCTGGTCTGGATCAAAGGAAGGACTTTTGTGACATTGATCATTTCCCGCATCATACGCGTGATTTATAAACACGAGTCTCTGCGCAGCGTTCTCGGCCTTTAGGTCGTCTTGTTCGTCGAATGAATCATTGAGGGAATGTAAAAGAGGTGGTGGCGGCGGAGGAGGCGGGACAATGACATTATTACAATCTCCATCGTCATCAGAGCACCTCGGTACTTCCGGTTGCGATATTTCAGTTGTCCCGGAAACTGGTTCAAATATTTGTATCGGTCTTCCTCCATCTTCACTGTCATCCTCTTCTTTCCTTATACTAACAGCTATTTCACCGTCACCGACCACAGTTGCGCCATCGTCATCATAACCTTTGACAGCTTTATCTAACTCATATATTGCTTCATTTTCTTTTGTAGAATCCGTATTAGCTTTACTATTTGAATCACTTGAACTATCATCGTTTTTGTTAGACTTGGTTTTTACTTTTGCCTTTTCCTTTTTGACATCATTTTTTGTATTAACTTCGCTATATCTACACCAGTATAAGAGGCAGAAGAGACTTAGCAATGCTGCTGTTACTCCCCCAGCAATTAGACCTATTATGGCACTCTTCCGGTACTGGTCCAACAAGTCTTTATATAATGCTCCATTAACATTCAGTCCAATTTTTAGCGTATGGACTAAGTAGATGTAGTTGTCCCAAAGAATCACACAATAGTACCATCCAAAATCTTCTTCGTCTACGTTAGTAATTGTAAGATTGAAATCCGGAGACTCCCCGACAAAGTATCTGCTGTTATTGCCGGATTCATGCCACCATTGAATTACCGATCCATTTGGTAAAATCCAATATTTTTTAAAGGTTGTATACGGAAGTGCTAAAAGTTTGTCGTCACAAGTGAGCGTAAAATTGGAGAAGTATTCCGCCTTGAATTCAACTTCAACAGACGATACGAAACGCAGCACGATGGATGATAAAATCAGGGCAACTAAATTTTGCAATGGAGGCATGTCACTGAAATGAAAATATATTTCAGTCAACTACAAGAAATATGAGGAAGGAATCAAAATAGAATAAAACGTTATATCGTAATGAAGCTCTAAAGGTTAATTTTAAGCGTATTATAGATGCGTTTTCGTATTTTCTTTTTTATTCGGTCTCGCAAGACAGGAAGGCTCGCCAGAAATCCACAGACTAGCCTCTGTTTTTTTTTTATCTAAGTCTGACACATATTAATGCCTTTCAAGAAAATGTATGATTCCGATTATTTCAATAGAGTTTTTTTTTTCTTTTTAAGAATGTACGGTATATACCGTATCATTTACATATGATAGTTACGAAAAGACTGGACAGTGTAAGTAAATAAAATGTTTTTTTTTAATAAATGCGGCGTCAAATCGTAAATTTTATACTTAAATTTGATTAATCTGAATTGGTGTTTTCCCAAATAGTATCATAAGACAATCTTACATCGCTCAAACTTTGTCTATTTAGCCAAAAATGCATGTAAGATGTTATAAATTCAAACAGCCTTTTTTCTTTAAATACAATGCATTGTAAATCGTTCGATGTTTATCTTTATATAATATACGAAGGTTCTCCCGGAGTCATATTACCTGATTTTAAAATGAAAACAAAAATGGCTTACCTGACAAATAAATGGCCGAATAAAGATTCTTAAAATCTCATTAAATTTTTATGTTTTCGTACAAAGGTTTTATCACAAATATGAGAAATTCTCAATCGCTTAAGAACAAAGTCATCACAGTTTATATTAATATAATACCTCTATAAAAATGTTACCTTTCGCAAATACGGATTTGTTTAAACAAGTTACTTGTACCCAGAGTGCATGTAAATTTACTCTCTTGTTTTCTTAAGTTAGAACAAAGTTTTTACAATTTTAACAACCTACACGAGGGTTTGTAAACAAATAAATCGATCAATGTAACAAATTATGTTCCCTCTTCGACACTTATGCCATTTTTTTCTTCGTTTTTTTCCCCGAAATTCCTAGTTATACAAAAATATTGTATGTCAATGATTTATTATAGGAATGAAATATCTATGTACCTTTTTTACCCTAGTATAAATCATAAAACAAAGATTATAAAAGCAGTTTACATGATAATTACATGAGTTATTGAAACCAAAACGTTCGATTTTATTTATTCTTATGCATGTATTGTTTCACATTTTAAAACTCCTTTTAGAATCTGTGTACTATATAAGCATTTTTTTTAAAGTGTATTATCAGTCAATTACATAACACCGTAAATGTAACGCGTTTGAATGATATATTGAAAATAAGATAAAATAATAATAATAATAATAATAATAATAATAATAATAATAATAATAATAATAATAATAATAATGATAAAATCATTATCTCGTCTCATCTTGGTCATCATCATCATCATCATAAGCACCATCATCATCGCTTCATATTCATCGTAATCATCATCATCACAAGCATCACAATCATCGTCATTATACTAGTTATCAAAATTATAATTAAAACAAAGTATACAATTGAATAATGGAGCAGTATTTATTTATTTACGAAGAAAATTTCATTTTTCTGATTTCACTAGTTTGGAATCTTTAAACACCGTTAAAATGATTCATTCACCGTTCTCGTTATAAATAAATAGCGCGATTATTGTTGATTTTGACCTGTTAATTAAAACAATGCAACAATAACTAAAAAACAAAACTTTTCTTAATTAATAGCTAAAGAGGCCTTGCAAATGTTATGAAACAATAAATAAAACAAAACAAGACATTAAAACGCGGTATAATGTGACAGGCGTTTTATCATAGACGTCGAATAGTGTTAAATATTTTGAAATCCTTGACGATATAAAGTATAATCAGCACAATGTAATATTCACTTGTCATGGAATAATTTATTCAAAAACACGACCCAAGCAAAACAATAAATTTAGTGATTCGCTCCGTTAAATTCAACGCGTATTTGTTCATTTTTGTTTTTTTACAAATTTCACTTGTTCAACGAAAAAGGATGTTATGGAGGTATGTCTGATTTTTGTTTTCATTACATAATTTACATAAAGACATGTATGTATTTTCTTATCCTAGGTGCCCTTCAAAATTGCATTTTTTGCACGTTTTTAAACATGGAGATGAATTACATTTTTGTATATAACTTGTGAAGGAAGCTACACGCTTAAAGAAACACTTTTGAATCCGTTCCTGGAATCAAACAGTAATTAGCAATAAGTGTAGTTTCTTACTCAACAAGGCAACAGCTGAAGGCCATTGACGGGGTTTAAACCAGTGCGGCAATAGATCCTTAGATAAATAGTCCTAATACTTAACGACCATGTCACCAACCTTTATACATTATTTCATTAGTAATGTTTCGCTATTTTCAGGTATATCAGTAGAAGACAATCATTGTGTACTTTTATTGTGATGTCAGATGAATTATGCAAAATATATTATATCTACGATAATTTAAACTTGTATGACTTAATACAAAAGATATTTTTATATACTTATAATTGAAATATTGAGAAAGATTGATGAAATAAAATACGTATTTTTATTTTTACGTATTTTCACTGTAAAAAATTACTTTTTACTGCAGTGAAACATATTTTCCATTTTGTCACTGGTGTCTTGCGGACTACTTTTTCCCAAATTCAGACAAAATAGAAAATTTAAAAAAGGATTCTTCCATAGCATACGATTAAAAAAGAAAAAGTATATAATAAACAGAAAGTTCAAGTTTTTTTCTATTAAAACAGGATTTATTTTCATCTTGTGGTATGAACATATTCTATTTCACCCGTGGCTAGTGCCACCCATGTAATATTTATTTTCATACCACTCGATGAAAATAAACATGTATTTATAAAAGAACATGAATATCCCTTTATACTCATTAATACTTAAAGCACATTTAAACACATTAAATTTTACTTTGTAATACACATCTCTTTCAGACCGTACAGACATATTTGATAGCATCACTATATTTTTGCTGTGACGTATACAGTATGGACATTAGCCAGAAATACTTCTCTGACGTTTCAATCAGCTGTCATGAAAGTTCGTTTCGGAATGTCTCTGACAATAAGGAAGAAAACAAGTTTGCTGCAAAAAGTATATGGTTGTTACCAAATGGTGATATTGTTCGGACAGGTCAACATTCGGATAAACAGACAAATGTCTATTCGTCAATTATAAATGAAACATCTGTATTACATGTAAACCGAATTGATGACATAGACTTTGGAGTGTATTGGTGTGTTCAGATATTGAACGACTCGAGTGTTGTGGCAAATAAACACACAATAAACATAGACGGGCCTCCGATGCACGAGTTTTATGAACAGCAGCGGAGGAACGCGATCGTTGGTGCAATATCTGCCGGTGCTCTGTTAGGAATCATATTAATTACATATATTGTATGGCATTTTCAATGTAGTGAAAAGATGAGAAGAAAACGTAGACTAACTGATGACTTAGCTAAAGGAATTAACAGATATAGCACACAAATCTACGACAATGTGGGGATGGAACTTTACGTTAAGAGAACCGACAAATAGTGAATATTTCATTTTCTATATTTCAAAAATTAATTTGTTTATAGGCATTAATTTCATTCTTACATGGACTTCATCGTCGCAACCTACAGTATATATTACGTTCCACTGTTACCGGAAAAATTAAATACCTATCACTTTCGTTTTTGTTTTTCATTGGTGGACACAGAGACTAAAAAACCAATCGACAGTGGTTACACTTTTGAGTAATTATTATGCATGCCAAGCCATTGCTGTTTTCTAAACTAAGAACATTAAGTTAATATTATGTAAAGTTTGTTGTATAATATGTACATGCAGTGTCTTGAATATCCTTACTCACTTGAGTTTCATGGAGGTTGCCTAGTAATATCACACGAACAACTTCTTAAAGGGAGTGGATATTTCTTTGAATGACTCGTACACGTTAATCTGAACTGATATTTAGTGAACAGCGGTTAAAATTAGAAACCGCTGTGAAAGCTCACTGATGATTGGCATTTGAAAGGTCACGAGAAGGTGACATCCTTTTGGTGTCCGTCAGATCCTAATGCGTAGGGTTATTTAGGGGCTGATTTTAATTAGATCGATAAATAGAGAATTAATACACTTACGTTCAAGCGTAGAAGTAATTTCCCTGACGTCAATTGGTTTATTGACGTCATTTGTTTCGTCATATATCGTGTAATTATGTAATCGAATGTCCTATCGTTTTGAAAGGGGGAAATATACAGCGTCTTAGAATTTATAATAACGTAGTTTATCATTAGATAACGTATATATAAAATGTATGTCTTTATGAAATACAGCGTTATATTTTTCTTCTTGTTGTTGTTGTATATAGGTATAGTACATAGATCTATTTTGGTTTATCACATACCCGTGCCGCTTTTGCGACTCCGTTAAAATGGTGTTGCACAGCCGTGTATATATTTTGCGCTATATAAATTTACATAGTAAAAGTGCGCGAAAGAGTTAGGGCTACTTATAATGTGCGCCAATGAAAAAATGTCTCTTTTCACTTAAACTGAATGTATTTAAGGATTAAAATTATATAATGGGATGCTATGCAACGTTAAGAGTATTTTATTTGCACTTTCGTGAAAATACAAGTTTCAAATAATTTACAATTCAAGCACATAAGCATTTTACAGATTTATAAAGTTTAACATATCTTCGATTTTAGAAAAGAAGAAGTATGGATCTAATATATAAGACATGCAGATAATAAATATCGTTCACTTTTTATATGCTTTTAAAGACATACTATGCTCAAATTTGATTTTTAAAAATATTGATAATTGCTATACAAAGTCTCTTTGTATGTATAAAATAAACAGGTTTCGACTTAATTTAAAGTAGATATGTTATGTTTTGAACTTTACATACTACAGGTGGTCACAATATGAATATATAGTGTCATTAAAAAAACTGGCATTTTTTTTAAAGAAAATACCAACTTTAATTGACATGTAATAAGGAATACTGCTTCCCATACATAGTTTCTTCATTATTTAATTCAAATTAAACATATTCAGTAAGAATTTCATTGATTTCAAAACATTTCTAAGATAAAAATATCTTACACAAAGATGAGCATAGTATATCTTTAAATTCATATAATTATATTAGAAATCTATATTTTATATTTATATACATGTTCATTATTCTTCTACGTTCTACATAGAAACTTTTCTTTTGTTTTTGATACAATGCTATACATTACATATTTGGGAATAGAAAAGAATATTTGAAAAAATAAATATTTTATTAAGTTATTCAATATTACGTATACTTTATTTTACAAATGAACTTCACTTTTAAACTGACAATTAATTAATTAAGATCTGCAGAATATATTGCCAAAATGTAATGAAATATAGCAACTACGCATGATAAAGATGTCATTACATAAACATGAATACTTAGACACGGCTTTCCATACAAATGATAATGAAATTAGCAATTAGCCATAAATGATCATATATAGTCCAGGGGAGGCAACAACGTTAGGTACATTGTAATTGCCAAAATATATTTTGGATTTGATTTAATGAATTCTTTCCAGTTGTATTTTGTATCTTCCTACTCGACACCCATGACATCAAAAACATATGTTATTTATTCTAAATAATGTGTTTAAATGGCTAAATATAATTTCCGTCAAAGTAATGTTTCAATCACAAATCATCTAAATTTTAAACTTTTATTGTACAATTAAACAAGAGGAAACCGATTATTTCACCGGTTTAGTATAAGGTTTGATCAGTCAAGAGTTTAAATACCGTTAATCCACTGGTCTTTAATAATTATAATATTGCGGTGTGGTTATGCCATAACAAATAAAGTTTAAAACCACATCTAGCTGATTAATTTAGAAAAATGACGACGTTAACCCCGGGATGGTAACAATTAAAACCAGCTTTCTACTTTGGTTTAACAAGATGATGCATACCGGAGATTAGCGGATCCACCCAATTAGTCAGTCATTTCTTTTTGCATATTTTCGGCATCTTCCGGCTGATTTCGGTTGACACAATACAGAATCATTTACATGAACATTGACAAATACGTGTGTTATAAAATTAATACATCACTGTTTCTTTGTTTTGCATTGTACATCGTTCCATTCACTAAAATGCAAACAATTAACCGCTCAATTATGAGGAATAATTCAACATTGGCCTTAATTGAAAACTTATTTCCTCTGCAAGAGGCGACATATTGAAATACATTCAGTCAAAAGGTAACGTGAAATTGTAGAAGCACGTTTGTTTGTTTTTTGCTAACGAACACTGCATATAACCAGAGCAAATTACCTTGGAGTATTCGCTTTATATGTACGAAACCTTTCAGGGAAGAGCCGCCAATGTTTGCAAGACAGTATTTGGTGTCGGACCCATATTTGTGGTAGGGTCTCATCTACAAAAGACTTGGGTCTTGTTTCATTAGGTTTATATACATTTCTTAGTACAGCTCCACAAGTTCAGGGCTATCATACATGGTCGAGGCTTTAGCCTAGACATGGGCTTGAGGTTATAAAACTTTTGGCAAATCTCAGGATTTTCATTGGCCAGTGTACACTCTGTAGTTGATTATGACCAATCAAGTACCTGGAATCTGAGTTTGAGCTTAAATGATTTATTTAAAACATTTGACCCAGTAGTAGCCTTGTACGAGTCAAATAGAAACAGTATAATATTCAAAAATGTATAAGACATCTTTATTTCACACATAAGAATATATAACCAATGTATTTACAGCGTTTGCACCATGTGACCAATTTATCAATTTACCCAGAGTCCATATTTTATCCATATTATACCCCATATCATATTGCATCGTCCAAAAATATATATATCAAATGCATATCAAATCATACCATACTCCAAATAGCCTTTTAAATCAGTGAGAGTCCTAAAATCCATATCATGTCGTTACTATGATAAAGTAACAAAGTTCTTTCAAAATGTTAAAAGATGATGGTCATCATACATTACTGAGAACAATACAGATTCTTTTTGACTCGTACACGGCTGCAAAAAGTAACTGAGACTCGATCAGCGCCTCGTCCAATATAGCTTTGACAGTTGTGTACTCGCCATTATAGAGTTCCCATTACACCAACATTTTTTGACATTTTTCAAAAACTTGGTTACTTCAACTTCAATAAGGATATGGACGTTTGGATTCTCAAAATTAAAACGAGGTCAGATGGAATATGATATTATTAATATACGGACATTTTGGACACTGGAAATGACAAGGAGGGTTTATTAATAACTTCAATAAAAATCAATATTGATTTCAGATGAAATATCATGTGGTGAATCAATCAATCAATCAATCAATCAATCAATCAATCACAAAGTACGGCGTCATGCAATAGGATTTTTTTTCTAATTTCCAGTGATTTTAATTTATAATATTGATTATTAAAGTATTACTATCTATCAAATAAAAATGACCAACGGAGTTATTTAAATCAATGCCTCTAGGTACGCTACGATAAGGTACACAATTTCATATTATGCTTATGTGTTGTTATGGCTGTACAAGTCATCTGAGAGTATAAATCTTGTAACTTTTAAACATAACTTAGCTAGAGACTTTGATTTAAATAACTGCCTATAAGCTCAATGTAAGAATAATTTATATTTTTAACGTTATGGATTAAAAATCTCTGCACTTAAGTTTTGACGTATTTTACTGTCAGACTATAAAAGATATTGTAATATTTTGTTTTAATCCGTTCCAACGAACTACTCTTGGTAAAGGATTAACCCCTTAATCTGTACAAAACCTATATACATGAGTATTAGCAAGATTAGATGAAACTAAGAGAAACCAAAGACCAAACTATGGTGGTGGAAATTAAACTGTGTAGCTGATAAATCAAAATGAAATAATTAAAACAATTTGTAGACAATTCTATTAAAGCAGTTTGTGTTTATATGAAAATAACTGATGGAGTGTTCACTTTAAATAAAAGGATAATAAAATGCAATATTTAATTTGTATCGTCTTTTTATCAACATTATTTTCATCAGGTTATTAAAGTGTTTCTTAGATCTTTTTTTTCTTCATCTTGTATGTTTCTTTTATCTCACTTCTTTCATTTTTATTGTTTGAAATTATTTTTCTGTCCAGTAGGATTGCAGTATTTCGAATGAATCGTAACACATTTAAATCAACTATTTATAATAAATAATTTCTTATTTATAAGAAATAATTTTTAACACTAAATTGGCAAGTGTTCATAAGTAACTATTTACCATATTAAATGGGTCTTGACCAATTTACATTTGTAATTGCTTACTTATAAACACTAACCATACTTAATTGCTATTGACATGCCTTAAAATATTTTGAACGATCATCAAAACTTAAGTATGAAAGAATGAAAACTTTTATAAATTTGATGCAAGTAAATGATACAGCTGCTCCAAGTCGTTTTGACGCTTATTATGGTTGTTAATTTATGCGGAAAATAAAAATGGTTCGTATGAAGTCGGCAAACTGCGTCACCTTCCATATATAAAGTAGGTAAAATCTTATGCTAATCATTTGTTGGCAATCACCATTCCACTAAGCGGTGAATCAATATGTCTCGTTTCTTGTTGCACAAAGCCTTTTGAATGTGTAAAAGAAAACCAAGGCATGCTTATATTACTCTTATACATGTATATTTAATGTCTTTTAATCTATGTTTGGACTTCTCTTCTCGTTTAGCATCTGCAACATGTACGTTTCCAACCGACCTTACTGGGATATGGGAAAACCCAGGTCAAGGCAATTTGACCTTCAATGAAACACATATGACAGGATATGACGTAGACAGTTACACAGATCTGACGCTAGAATGTCATTTGTTTGCAGACGACAAATATGTTTTAAGGTAAGTTGGCTGAGGCATTTTCAACACACAGCATCTGTCCATCATATAGTGACTGATTTGGTACACTACGCGTTGCGTTGTCGATAGCGACAACAAAACCTATATCGTTATCGTCTTTTCGTTTTGTCGCTAGCGACAACACGACAAAGCGCCAAACGGCGCGTTGTCGCTGTGTCGTCTTGTCGTCCTGTCTCTAGCGAAGCAGGCCAAACGGCGCGTTGTCCTGCGGCGCATTGTTGCCCTGTCGCCTGGATTTAAAATAAATCCTTCGATTTGAACCGAGCGACAATGTTACATTGCAATAACACGCCACACGACAACTTGACGTGCATCGTTAACGACAGGACGACAAGACCAAAGTCAGACAACGCTTTGTCGTGATGTCGCTAGCGCCAATACGACTCACAAAAGCGTTCAATAGTCTGCCGACGCTGATTAAGAAATGTTTTGGGAGAAGAAATCGGTTAGTTGGGGATAATTTTGTAATTACTGGTTAGTTATCCAGCCTAGGCGGTCAGGTGATCCAATCGCAGGAATATGCCAAAACATTGTGTTAAAATCGGCTTAATAAATAATATAACAAACCAACGTACTACCTATACACTATAAATAACGCAAGTAAATATATGATAAATTTATGTATGTACGGTACATTTATGTTTGTACAATTCACATTCTTGAAATCCTCGATGTTTGTTTTAATTTTGCGCATATATTGTTTCGGTACATTTTTTGTGGAGCTTTTCTTTTGGTTAAATGTAGATCTATCTTACACAACACCCCTCCTGGCCCGATTAGTCACTTGTTGTTTCCATCAAAACAGCTATGCTGAAATTATTTTCTGACTACATATCGTTTTTCAATAAACAACAAAATTCGCTTATTATTCATGTATACTCGATATGATTAATGTTATTGAAATTGGAAGAAAAGAAGAAAAAAGTTCATTAACTTTCCAACTTTCTCACAGCTCGACAAAACTGAGAAGTTTTCATTTACAGTTTCGAGACAAACAACTGAAATATTTAATTGTTTTGTCATGGTCTAGCCACAATCTTTACATTCAGATCTAATATTTCTAAAATTACTGATACCGGTATTGGTGGTAAACAATTTACAGTTTGTGCGGATTGATTTTGTTTACTACCACCAGTAAACAAGTCGCTAACTATTTTGTCATGCAGTATTTTTATTATTAATTTTTATTCTGAATCATAAAATGTGTTTTGTAACGAACTGTCTTCGTACTTTAGAAGTTCAAGTAAATATCTAATTTGCTAATGATTTTACCATGCTCGATAATATATTTTGTCGCTCTTAAATTTGATATCATACCAGTATTTTGTATCTATATGTACTTAAAACACCATAATTATACAAGTCACTATAATTATACAAGTACAATGCACATTAGTAAACATAACAAATATAATGAGCCGAGTCACGACAAAACCAACATAATGGGTTTGCGACCAGCATGGATCCAGACCAGACTGAGCATCCGCATAGTCTGATCATGATCCATGCTGTTTGCTATCAGTTTCTCTACTTGTAATAGACTTGGTTTGCGAACAGCATGGATCCTGATCAGACTGCGCGGATGCAACGGCTGGTCTGGATCCATGCTGGTCGCAAACCCATTATGTTGGTTTTGTCTTGACGTGGCTCATATCTAATAGAATATCTATATCCGATCAGCAATTGTTTGAAATCACTCTTTTTTGATTTTGTTTCAGTGTTGTTATGTTTTTTCCTAGTCCTCCGGGATCATTGATTCTGGCAAATTTAGTGTTGAAGATTTAATACTGCATAAGCCGGTGCTAGGGGGCGTGTGGGATGTTACACTTTTCGAATATAAGATAGCATACAATTTTACATTTACAAAATATTAATTATAAAAAGAGTCCTTCAAAATATTCACCATTGACCTATACACACTTTTCCATTCTCAAAATCCATTCCGAAAAAGTTTTTTCGAAATATTCTTTGAATATACTGCTTATGCACTGGTAAAGAGCGCTTCCGATAGCACTACGGGTGTCGAACCTGCGATCGAGAAGGCAAACTTTTATCTATGGATTTTATTCTCTGCTTATCTAAATAAGCTTGAACCAAGGCTGACTGGTGCGCAGATGAATTATCAAATTGATTTACTAAAGCAGTGAGAACATGGAGGAAAACACATATGATACATATATACTTAGGCCTGATATGTCACTTATTTCCTCCGCGGTATATCTTGCATCTTCATCAACTATGGCTTTGGCAGTGCTTATGTTTTTTCAGAGGTAGCATGAATTTTCCGCCCAGGGCGGGATTGTCCTTAACATTAGTTCTACCTTCCTTTAACATTAACACCAACCTGGCATTTATATGTTATGGAAAGACATTTTCTATATCAACTAAATCTACATCCGTTTTTTAATATGTTCTGACGCGCATTTTCCAAATAAGCCACGCATTTTGCAATAAAAAAATTGCTCCTCTCTCAGATCACAATGCAACTCAGCTATGTTAACAACGCACGTGCAAATCGTGCGAAAATAGACTGCTGGTTTAAAAAATCAATTTTCTTTCCAACTGTATATTATACATGCACGTTCAAGTTAATTTGAGCTTAATAAAACATGCCGACGGCAAAATATGTAGATAAAGTGGTATTTCAACTTCCGTTCAAAGTACTTATTCCTTGTATTTCTTAACTGAATAAATTGCAAAAAAAACCCAGAGGAAATAAGGTCTCAGCTATATGGAGAATGAATGACGTTTTTGAAATTGTATCTGTTACTTGTTTTCGTCATACTATACCAGCTAACAATAACATTAATAGCATTTTAGGTCCGCCAAAGCTCCTTGCCGCCAGTTCTTGTTGCTGGATCGTGTGAGGGTTGCGTTCATTGAACGCCTCCTTTCCTTGTTGATCATGTTTATCATTTAATGAGCCTTTAAGTTAAGTAACTTGAGTTTCTGTAGAATTTCTTTCAATACAATATCACCAAACAACATAGTGATTCTTATAATGTAATATCAATGTCTAGATGTTAAACTTACAAACATTGGAGAAAATGATTCCATGCAGGCGACAGCATTGTCTAGAGCTAATGAAGAAAACGCTTACAATTTGTGATTTCAGATCATCCGATTTTACGTTACTTGGCCTGTCCAACGTTGTGAACGCTGCGTTTTGTATCTCCTTGACGAAACAATCAAGTAACAAGTACACGTACTTTATTCAAACATGTAAGTATATCTTCAAATCTTTTTACAGACACGTATAAGTTGTTGTTTTTTTTTGGTATGGACCTATTTTTTTTTATACATGTATACAATTTCGAACAGTTATTATGACGTCGGTTTGCATGCTGATAGTAAAAACGTGACACTTGTCTTATGAACCATCAATATCACGCCTAAAATGTCACTTTTTGAGATCTTCTCGGGGCAGAAAAACAATACAAAATACTGTACAAATATCATTTTCTTAAATATATCATTGTTTTTATGGGATTAAGTATACAGCCGACTCATTCAAGTGAGTAATCAATACATGGGAATGTTTTCTAGGACATAATTTAATATTCTTTTCATAAATTGAAACACGTGTTTGAATATATTGAAATTCATGGAGTTTCACTTTACGTAAGAAGTATTGATGTTTACTTATTAGAATAAGCCGATTGTACGCGTTTTCTCATATAAAACAATGATATAGTATAAAGGTTCAGAAAGAAAATACTACACAAAAACCGTTCGTTGTTTGTATTGGGTTTCTTACCCTTGGAGAACATACACATACGTGAAATAGAAATAGGCATTTACATATCTTTACCTTTAGACCATATGTTCACGGTCAGGTCTGTAACGTTAAAGTGAATTTTCCTTCTTTTACCACTATAAGCAATGTCCCTTTTTTCAAGTATATTGTATAGGGACATTCATCGGCGTTACTAAACACTATTTCTGTTTTCTTCTTCGAGGAATTCAATGTTTTGCTTTGACTTACAAATTTTCATATTCGTAAAGGTAATATCATTAAAGACGATCCGTTTAAGGAAAATAAGATAAATCTTTTGCCAATGGAGTTGTTATTTCTCTCCTTATTCTACCATATATGGTTTATATGGAACTTTCGTGTAATATTAAACTTATTATTCTAATGATATAACTTTAATTTCAAATAACTTACTGCTTCTGTTGATATTTATATTATATTTTATGTCCTGCAGCGCAGCTTGCCGATGCCAATTATGAACGTGTAATGTTTCTGCAGTCATCTGACGTAATCTCGTCAGTAAATGACGTTTGCAACGATACGTCAACCGTCAACGTTCCACAAGAGACAAAGCTTCTAGTGAAATTCGGTAAGTCCGTAAAATCTTTCAACAATACTTTTTCTACATATATAAAGCAATCTTTTATTAGCATTTATAATGTTTCAATTACACACTGTTTGGTAGTATTCCAATATACCATTGCAAATACGTTGCTTACTTTTTCTTATAAATGTTTTTCACTTCTTTTTCATTATCGGCGTCTTACAAATAGTCAAGCATGTATTTGTTAACACACAAACATATTGTGGGTCTTACCCTGTTGCACGGCTTAGTCTGCCCCTGTTAACTGTCAATAATAATAATAATAATAATAATAATAATAATAATAATAATAATAATAATAATAATAATAATAATAATAATAATAACAACAACAATAATAATAATAATAATAATAATAATAATAAGATAATAATAATAATAATAATAATAACAACAACAACAAATAATAATAATGATGATGATGATGATAATACAAATGTAATAAACTTTTTTTAACATCTTAACAGAATTTTTACTTAAATGAGACTCACTGTAGATATGATTTTTTATTCTTTTGGAAATGGTTTGAAAACAAACTTTATTGCTAAAGACAGATGCCCAATTAAAAAAATAATGTTTTTGATTGTCAGTTCACAGGGCGGATCAAGACGTAAGACAGTGTCTGATCACAAAGTGTTTGTGACTAAACACTTTAATAGGAATATTTAAATTAGTGCAGTCTACAATGGACACATTTTCCATTAGTATTTCAAAGATCATTAAATTATAGAAATGCATTAATTGGATATTCGTTTAATATGTTGCTCGAAAATAAAACGTTGATAAAGTTTTAAGCGATTTACCATAAATATCTATGTGATGAATAGAATATTTTGTTCTAGAACATTTTATCATCTGTTATATAAATATATGTAATATCGGATTATTATGTAGCACACAAGCGCCAACAACATCCATGTATAATCCTTTCGTGGTTCGTTGTTATTATGTAATGCTAGATATGTTCAACGTAATTATTCATTGTATAACAGACCTTTCATTTTATATAGACCAATTCACTTTAATGTTTTCATTTTGATTTTAAAGGGGAAGCAGTAAATGAGGCTGTCAGATGTCCGAACGATATACTAGGAACTTATTGGTACTATAATCATACAACTTGCACCGAGAGTTATTGGGACGTATGCTCAGTGACGTCACAGATGACGTTTAATTATACGATGTGCTCAGAAAAGCAGTTTTTCTCCGGTAAAAAAATAAATATAAAAAAAATCTATGATTTCGTGTTGCTTTTAGACTTAATTAATCTATGTCTGTGTGCTTTTTGTGCTGTTAATGCATCGGTTTTGTTTATATTTGAACGGGAAACGTTTGTGCAATTTCATACTTTAAGATGAACATTTTCACGACGAAAAATTAACGATTATTCAACTTCGAAATCATGACCATATAAGCATCTGTATTACATCTGAAAGAAACTGTGTATCAGATAGGATAATATTTTGTTTTATTTCTTTTTAAAGCATTGATTTAATTTTACATAGGTAATGATGCCATTCAAAAAACTATATTGACATACTTTCTAGTTACCACAGGTTTCGTTTCCAGTGATAATCAACTTCACTTAAAACACATAATTTCTTTTGTTCAGATACGTCAACAGTGAATTAATGTATATCATCACATTTGATTTCAAACGTCAAATTTTATTTGAACTTTATATGACCTTTCAGCGGGAGGTGTTGTTCGTTGTCTGTACAACGTTGAAGATAATGACGACACAGTGACGTATATATATAATGAAGATTCGACTGTTGATAACAGCGCCACCTATCAGTATTCATGCATGGTAAATACGAAATTCAGAACATTATAAATCTTACAATTCCATATATGTTATAACTAATTGACAATTTGTATTTGAAAGGACCCTTTTGGAAAGTGTTTGCTTTTTCCGTTGAAATCTTCCTTTCGTTGAATCTTACCTTCTGTTCGTGCTATATTCTCTGTTCGGTTATCTGCAGATAAGCTTTCAAATCTGGTTGCTCTGGTTGCACATTATACAATTTTTCTATGATAGGCTTTTTATGTACATAAAATGTCACTATTCATAAAACACAGTTATATTTTTATATTAAGCTAGGCTTTCTCTTCCGACAGTTGAAAGTCGTAAAACTTGAACCACTTAACCTAACCTCTTCTGGTAAAAATCTCACCAGAGACACAGGAAACAGCTATCCAATTACCGTTCGAAACGTCAATGGTTCTAAGTACTGTGAACTGATTTTGACATGCAAAATGGTGCACGTGATGTCCTGCATTAATGGTTAAGTCGGGAAGTCAACATGTGACCTTACTAATGTTGATATGGGTCATAGTTAATAACTTTAATTCAAATTCATTTGTTTTCTTTATCTACAGATAGTGAAGAAGGACAGCAGCGACGGACTTGTGTACGTCACACAGTATCCAAGAGACTGTCTTAGTAACCAGACATCTACATATGTCGTAAGCTCTGGACATTCAAACGTCCTCTCTGCCAATGGTAAAAATTCATTTTTACATTTACTTCACTTACATAAAATTATTTAAATTGTATTGAATTAATTCAAAGTGATAAAATGAAGAACAGTTCAGAAGGAATGGAGCAATAGGAATAGGCAGGTGCATGTTCAACTGTCAGTAACTACCAGTAGACATTTTCTCTTATACACATTATGAGCACAGAATAGCACCTTAGGCCCTAAACCACAATTTAAGCTGGAAAGTCGCCATATGATCATACAATGTTGATGCAACGTAAATCCCAATCAAATAAACAACACAAAAAAAATTCATACTATCGCATATGACATATGCAAGCTGTTTTAAAATTACCCTGATTCTTTATTTCTTCTGCTTAGATTAAACTCTTGGTGATATTTTCTGTGATCTGTATATGTTAAAGTCTTCCTGTGATATTGTCATTTTGTACGGTTTTATGTATTGTGATATGTTATAATCTTTACACAAAGACCATTTTCTCATGGGGTGTTTTGTTTTATATATATTTACAGTAACCTGTGGTAAGTAAGCCCATTATATATTTTAGGAATACTATGATGTACAATAACATGTTTTTGTTTTAAATGAAATTGTCTATATTAGAAACATAGTATATTTTATTTTATAAAAGTAAATTGAATTCATACCAGGAAAGAAATATAATGCCGTTTCATTTTATAAAGTATTTATATAACGTATTACGTTACAGAAATATGACTCATAGAATATGTGTCGAAGTTATAAAAGAACTTTCTAATTGACATTCAATATGACACAATTCAATCCACGTCAGTAACAATGGAAATGACATATTTCTTTTTAGATTCAACTCTTTATAGATAAAGTTCGTGTACTCACAATCAAAGAACGTACATATACGTCAATGTTGATATTTCAAGTAAATGTGTATGAAAAATCCATGCTAGCAAATATTAATAACGAATGTACTTTTATCAGCTAGCACAAAGAAGTGTCGAACAGTGCTTTATGTTCTGTTACTGATATATGGGCTATATAGGGTATCTCTTATGATCTAATAATTGTTAAGTCACAATTGCTAATGTTTCAGTTCCTACCTCGGATACCAGTGTTTCTCAAGCTGGTCTAATAGCTGGGCTGGTAGTCTTATTTATCATCCTACTTGGGGCGGGCGGGGCCGCGATTGGTTACTACATATATACCAAGAAGTTTAAAAAGATCGATCCGGAGAAGCAAGTGATTGATAAAGAGAAAACCATGGACAGCAAAGATTCTCGTGCACTCGATACTGTGACGCCAAGCGTCGTAAAAACGGATATGACGTCGCCTAGAAATGGCGGCTCACATGGTAAGATATCTCAAGTATTAGGACCTGAGTATACAATGACAAACGCGTGTGATGATGCGAAAGCAGAAGGTGAACTAACGGATGTTGATGATCAGGGAAGTCCCCGGAAACTACCCGCAATATCCACCGGAAATACACCAAGGGAAGCATTGTCTCCCTTAGATACTCAGCTGAAAAAGCCACAATTACCTCCAATTCCATAATTCTGGGTGTTGAGTTTTTGCAGAAATGTATGTTTCAGTATAAAAGGAGACATTGCAAAGGTTTTTAGTATGTCTTTCACTTTAATGAAGCACATGTTATATGTTCACAGTTTTGTTCTATTATTCGTTGACCTGATCTTTTTTGTCTTTAAGTATATCATATAATTGCAAAGTAGAAAGTAATAGAAATGGAAATGCTCTAAACGTTTTCCTCCAATATATTTTAGTGTTAACAAATTGCAAATCTTTTTTGCACAAGTCGGATTACTTTGATTACAGATGCCTTTTTACATATCCGACAAAACCTTTGTATTGGGTATGTTTTTGTATTAGACATTAAGCCAAACGGAAATAATTCAATTAAGGTCTATTGTGTATTTGTTGCATTTGAATACCATTTATCCATTATCTGTTTGTACCAGTTACGTCTATGTGTGTTGTTATAATAATGCACTCTTTTACCAAAGGTACACATTTTTCTTTCTTTTTTATTGATTTACGGAAAGAATAAACTTTCTTTGATAAAACGCTCGTATATTTATAACAGATTGGTCTACAATTAGCATAATTATATTCAATAAGTATTGCAGATATTGACGTATCATTTGCATATATTTATAAAATATTTCTGTAAAAAAAAATTGAAGGCACTTTAAATGATTGAGTATGAACATTTATATGATGAATAATAATATTTGAGCCGCGTCACGACAAAACCAACATAATGGGTTTGCGACCAGTATGGATCCAGACCAGTCTGCGCATCCGCACAGTCTGATCAGGATCCATGCTGTTCGCTATCAGTTTCTCTACTTGTAATAGAGTTGGTAAGCGAACAGCATGGATCCTGGTCAGACTGCGCAGATGCGTAGGCTGGTCTGGATCCATGCTGGTCGCAAACGCAATATGTTGGTTTTGTCATGACACGGCTCATATCTTTTTTAAACAATTGATAATCTGCAATATGTAGGAGCATGTGTCTTACAAAAAACCTTCCATAACTTTTCTTGCTTGTACTAAATAATATCAACTTAATTTTTTTATGGTTTAATAGACCTTCCATTGTGGACCAACTCAAACAAATGAATAAAAATAAAAACATACTAGAGCTACAAAATTAATTACTTAAACATGGTTCGTTATTTATATTTCTTATAATGTAAGTGAATGGAATGACTGTTATGTGATAGCGATATATCAATGTTTGAATGTTAATTATTTGATTGTTTTGATGATTTATTTGTTTTCTACGTAACACTGTTCTAACTTTGTCTTTTGATAAATAAACCTATACCAACACCAAATAACGTCTCTTGTGTGTTTTACCCCCTTACAATGTTGCTACAAAACGCCTTTGCAAAGTCTCTGATATATACTGATTGTATGTCTAAAGTTTAAACTTTGATATGAAACATTTAAACAAACAAATATCAAAACAAAAAGGCATTATCTCTTTTATTTATGGACACTCTTAGAAAAGTTAAAACTGTTTGTCCATTAGTGACGCTTTGCCATTTCCATAAATGTTTAATTGAGTAACAGAAACTTGTGAAGAATAACAGAATATTATACAATCTACTTACCATGTTAATGTATTATCATTATTCAAACGTTATCTATGTAATTTTCTTTTTGAAAATTTAGTTGAACATTTGTGATAAACAAGGTTCCTTCTTTTATGAATTAGCTAGGCCAACGGAGATTCAGTATTTTGCACATATGTTCCAATGATTTTTCGGATGATAAAGTAAACGAGTATAAATTACGGTGAATCTCAAAGACTGAAACCAATCAGTTCTGATGTTTAAGACAAAATCTGTAACCTAATAGCAGTTTAATAGACATTCGTTTTAGGCAATCCATTTATCATTTCAAAAATGTCGAAGTAAAAGGAGAAGCATATAATATACATTATCAAACATATTATCTATTCAATTTTGAAATTAGCAACTGAACATCACAGTCCATTTAGATAAGACCATAACCATTCAGAACGTCCTCGAACCATTTGAACAAGCCACTTTAAGTAAGCAAAAAAATTGAAACAACAAAATGTAATAGAAAAAAGAGCGATAAAGAAATGCAACACTTGGACTATATCGGCGAAAATAAATTATTAATGCAGAGCTAAAAGTGCATACATATTTTCTCAGTCAATTGTCATTTATTCTTATTAAGTAGGAACAATTTGTTGTTGCTTCTAAAATGCTCTTATATCCTACGACCATGAAGACATTTAAAGCTTTTTGATTTTTTAAGCATTGTTTTTCTATTTTCCAAATTACTATTCAAGCCCTTGCTTTTGATTATGAAATAAATGAATATGTTATACATGTATGTTAATTTACGCCCGTAGGCATTTTGTTAGCATTATTACACTTCGTACAAAGTTTGACGAGTGTTGCTACTTATTTCTTATAGCACGATAGCCATCTTCTCTGGTAGAAATACCCTGCAATTAAACTTTCACCACATACTGTAGGGAAACGCCGACACAAGCGCATTGGTATCAAGAAAGTCGACGGCCCTGCAGTACCTCTTCCCCCTGTCAAAATAAAATCAAGATATCGTAGAAACTTTGCCTCAAAATCCTTAATCACCCCAAGAGATATCCGACCACCTACAAGAAAACAGTCAGATGTAGGTAATAAACAACCTGATCAGCAACCTGATGATAATCGCGATAATGCACCAATTGTCGACACTGCACCACCTGATTTACAATTAGCTCTCGCACGAGAAGACACATTTACAGGACAATCTAGATGTAGCACAGCATTTGAAGATAAAATCGAATTCACTCTTCAAAAAGAAAAACCAAACCTTTCAATAAAGAGCATAAAACGCCCATCAAAGAGTAGACAGTCTAGTATAATACAAAATAGCGCCAGGAAACTAAATTCAAGGCAAAGCATTAAGAGTCGAAATGGAAAGAAAGAACCAAACAGTGCAAGGTCTTCACAGAAGAATATTGGCTTGACAGTTAAGTCGCTCCAAAGCGATAAGAATAGCTACGTTAAACATGCTAAAGCTGTTTATAAAGACAGAAATGTGATATACAGAAAGAAAATTAAACTAAAAGGAAAAATTAAGAAGAAAAAATCAATAAAATCGGCAACAAGCATAAAGCTTGATAAGATAACAAAAGAAGACATTATTGGAAAGCCAAAGGAAATTTCTGAAGAAAAAACTGTAAAAGATATTCATGTTTGTCCGGAATGTACAATAGAAGATATTACAGATAAAGTACCCGATAAAATTCAGAATGATGAAAGTGAGAAGCCAATTGTAGAAATTAAAGAAGCATTTATTGAAAAACCTGAAGAACCTCCTACACCTGTAGACGTGTTACCGGTAACTAGTCCAAAGTCAGCTGATGAAAATTTCTTTATGTGTTCAAATGATGAGGACAACGAGTATGCTGAATTCATGGAAAAAAGAAAGAAAGAACAGGAAATGATAGAAAGGGCAGAAAAACAAAAGTATTTAAATTTTTCAATGAACTTAGTTAAAAGTATTCCAAAAGTTTCAAAGAAAAGTAAGGTAAATAAATCTTCCGATAAAAATCCAATAACATCGTTGATGCAAAATGTGGAGTCGTTTGCTCGATTTAGTGTTCTCCGTAAAAAGTTTTCATTGAAAAGCAAAAATGACGTTTCGAAGGAGAGAAAAGAAGCGGTGATAGAACAGAAAGTATTAACACAAGTTTACTTCAACTATAATTTAAAATCCAAATCTAGACTACAACTTCGACGCCAACGCACAAGACCGTCTGTTGTTTTTTAAAAAAGACACTTGAAAGGTTTTCCAAACTTTTTTTAGGGAAAATTGGGGTTGAAGCAGTGACGCATAAATGCCACTATAAAAAAAACAAATTACAAGAACTACATCAATTATGATAATGTTAAAAATCTGCGATATAAAGTGGGCTAAGTAGCATTTTGCATGACCATTACGAGACATTATTAATTGCCTTTTTTGTACAAGTGCGTTAATTTATATAACTTAATATAATGATCAGATGTCTTTGTTTTCGCATTGCTGGCGAATTTCGACAACATATTGCTCTGACCCCGTCTTTATATAGTATCAAAATTTTTGAATTTCGGTAATTTCTTTATTTGTTACACTTATCTGAACACTACTTACTGCGGACTGAACGACAAAAGATAAATGATGTGTTAGAGTGGATTTCGTAATTTCATACGATTAATCATGATTGTATAAAAATTGTGCTTGCTTGTTTTTTATTTGTTTTTATTTTGTTGATTTATTTTATAAAAAGATATATTTTATTACTTTATTTTAAAATTATACAGTCGTATCTTTTTTTTGCTATCTTTTATATATCATTTATATAACATAACTTGTATGTCATTTCACAACAAAATGAGATTATTTGAAACAATTTCTAACAAGTATAAAATAACATGTTCAACTTAAATAGTCGTAGTATTGTCTGCATAAAGCTATAAAAAGAGAGCGTTTTTTTTTCTAATCTTTATCCTGAAAATATGGGATAAAAGCATCCTCGAGAGATGTACATGTTGGAAAATTGTAGTTACTATAACAAAAAATGTTATCGTATCAGTTCAATGATATACTGTTTTGTCTATTGTATCTTTGATAAGATAATCTTGATATATGTTAATTTATCATCATGATCACCATTCCCTGATTATTAAACTGCGGTACATTTTCTGTTTCCTCAGAATGTCATTGTTTCTATTTGTTTATTATTAAATTTGATGCTTTATAAAATAAATGTTGCTAAAAATGTGTGTTAAAAATTTCACCATATCCATGTTGAATTTTGCTTAAGCCGGTGCTAGGGGCGTGGTCGGTAGTTTGCACTTGACAGCACCAAATATGAACAGGCTCAATCAAACCGAGCCCGCAACATTTTCAATATTGCAGTCTTGGACTTTCTTTAGTGATTCTTATTTTGTCTATTAAATTGCTTTCTAGCGTTAAACAAATCATTTGACCACAGATGTTTTTGTGTTATTGGATCACGTTATCAGAAATAAGACATGCTGCGATTGTATTCTTTATTTTGCACACATACCACAATAAATGTAAACTACACTACTGTTTGGTAGCTGAAAAAATATAAAATTAATTAATTAATAAATAAAAAATAAATTACCGAAGGTAACTCGATAGGATGAATCCGATCTTTCTTGCGGCCCTCATAAATAGTTTGAAACAGAATTGCGTATTTAAGACAGAAATTGTACAACATTAAAATAAAATGATATAACGTTTTAGGAACATTTTAATCATAATATGTAGCTTCATAGTGGCTGCTTTTTATTCTTTCTTTACAAATGTATCAAAATTGCATTATTATTTATATTATTTAGAAAACGCGAATATCTTTATCAGCAAGTACATCGTTACACACTTGAACTACTTGATTTTAATTTTTGAATTGGAAATTTAACAAAAGATACTTTTTTCTACACGTTTAATATTTGCATCCAAAAGACACCCAAAGTAAGCAAACTTTATCAAATATTTGGGTAAGCATGCAAATTTTATGATAAGTTTAAGTTCTTGACACAAAATTAGGTATTTTTTTATTTTTTAAATCAGACCTTTTTGTGAATTTGGTCGTACTAGCAATTTTTTTATCTCAATAAACCAGCCGTAATATTTCAATTATGTCGTTTTTTATGTCCTTTTTGAATTGTTTTTTTCCTCGCTCAGTTGGGGGAATAAAACAAAGCAACCAAAATATTTTTTGTTTCCAATAAAAAAAGGAACGTTTTTATTTTTCACAAAACAATTGTTTACTGTTTTTGATAAAAACTGAATTTAATAAACATTTTCATTTTTTTGTTTAGATTTTACGCTATATCATTTAAGTTGACACCACTGCGCAACCTTTTCTAAATCATTCTACAGCATTTGTTGTATAAACATATATGTTTTTAAATTGGCATAATGTTCCGCTTACCCATGAGCAAGCATTTTGTGAAAAATGAAAAAAATTTCATTGGAAAGCCTCCTGCTACAAGTTCAAACTGCTATGACACTGTAAAGAAGGCTTCAATACCGTTCAAACTTGGCAGACATGTTGACTGGACAATAGCCTTTATAACAGCTTACTCAAACTTAAATTTCCTGTTACAACGAAAGGACTTCTCAACTTTGCCAAAAATCACGATTTTGCGTTGATTTTTCCATCAAAACTGATTTTAAAGTGCTTAAACTTCTGAATGAATAAAGATAGAGTAGATAAATTCCTTAAGGTAACCTGTAACCTTAAGCGTTTGTAACAGGTTACCTTAAGGTCGATCAGAATCCATTTTAGGCTCTCACAAGTCCAACATTTACTTGGAAATGAGGAATCTTCTGACCCCTTCAAGACCCCAAGCAGAAAGGAACCATCCCCCTTTGGCAACCCCTTGATGAATCTTTTTGAAATGGGATGGCGCCAAAAAAGTTTGTTTACACCATTTTGCGAACAAAAACAAGTGTTTGGGGTCTAAATAGGGCATTTTGACAATATTTGATGCATCAAAGGTGATTGGGCAGTGAATGGGCATGAAAAGACATCTAGGTTAAAACTTAGAATATCGGCCAAACAGTCTTACACACATGTTTTTCAATAACATTAACAGAGAAAAACATAGAGAAAGAGGAACTTTAAAGAACTCAAACTCACTTTCTTTTTTCTATCCTTATTATTTAGTATATATTGGTATAAAACTACTGTCACATGCCGATTTATTTGACAAATTTTGAGATTAAGCAATCAGCAGGTAATTGATTGTTATGTAAATGCCCACAAGGCATTTTACATATGAAAATGATGAAATTAATTAAACAAGTTGAGTAAAGGCCCCGCCTGATCAGTATGTACAATGTATTTCCAATTTTTTTTTTTTTTTGCGAAGCAAGGGCTGTTTGTTTTATTGTCGAAGCTCATCTAACAGTCTTTTTTAAAATTATTGATATGTAAATTAAAACATTTAAATTAAAATATTAAAAAAAAACTAATTAAAAACAAAACATTAGGTAAATCAGTATTTGTAGGTTTAGAGCAGTAGAAAAAAATTTCACGTTAGACATTTACCCTGCAGTCTTAGTGCCATCATATTCAGAACAAACGAGACAGCCTTAATAAAAAAAATATGGATTCTCCTCCAAACGAAATTATAACAATTGTTAAGGGTTGTAAAGTTCCAAATAACTAAAAACACTTAAGTCTCATTAAATACTTATGATAGGATAACACAAAGACAATAATAAAGGGTTTTTAATGTCTTTGAAAAATGTAGAGCGACCTTAAAATGACCGACAAAGACAAGATGAAACAAGACATTCATGTGACGAAAATGGAGCAGCTTTAGTCAAATAGATATCCATCATGGAGTCTCCCGCTTATTAGACTGTCTGATATAACCAAAAGAGTAAAGTGTAGGGCCAGACTTTAATACTTGTCAACTTATCAGGAGTAAGAAATTTTATAAAATCAATTAAAATATTGCATCAAATTGTCACCAGGGACGTCAAAATTATTCAAGGTTCGAACAGTTGATAACACATGTAGTAAGTGATGTGTTAGCTTTGCCTTGAATTTACTGAGAACTAAAACGTAACATTTTTAAAAGGATAAAACGACCATACATACAGGCAGACAGAATGGTGCATTTTGATTTCACAATTAATAGCACACGCTGACCTACATACACAAATAACCAGCTTCCTGAAAAAACTATCATTTTTGCCGTACATATTCGATGTAAAATAATTAATGTGAAAATTTATCCCAATATGATAAATCGTATCTTTCATCTGTATCAACAAATCAAATGTGTATAATTCAAATCAATAAACATTTGAACTGCTGAAGATCTGTTTACACAGTGTCTATCATCACAATTTCAATATGATATGATCTTTTTGTACCTTACGACCCAGTCAGTATTATCTTATATTTACGCTAAACGTTTTGTTTAATGATTTGATTATTCATATTTAAAAATAAGTTAACCAGTAAAAACAGGTAAGTTTATCAAAATGTAAAAAACCCAAGTTAAAAATATCATAAAATCTATAACAAGATGACCTAATATTATGTCATACTTCCTTTTCGTATTTTCAATTGTTTTGTTGGAAGCGGAAAGAGTGGAAGCTTAAAGAAAATTTTTTTTTGCGTATTTGATTCGTTGCTTGGTAAGGAAGATTTTTATAACATATTCATCCATTTAAGTACTTTGAATTATTGTTAGTAATTGGAACCGAAAGTGGTTAAAGCGTCGGACAAGTAGTCTAATGATCGCTAGCCCCATGGGTTCAAACCCAGTCAGGGACAAGTCGTTATTTCCTTGTGCAAGAAACTTTACACTCATTGCTCAGTACTGGTTGGTTCCAGGAACGGATTCGAAAGCGTGTCTATAAGCTTATAGATTCCTTCACAATCGAGATTAAATAATTTCTGTTTAAACCAAAACCGAAAGTTCTTATATTTTGACACTTGTTTGTATATTGGTTAAAGCGCAGCTCACATTTTTAAAATTATTATATTATCCTAATTGACGTACTAGCTGTACATTGCGATTGATTCTTATTTTTGATCCATATTGATTCAGCTGATCACCATTCGCTCCCAAATCAATTCGCCCCACTTTATAATGGAAACTAGAACACATTATTGACCCTGCAATTATCACGACACTTATTCGTTTATCAAGGAAACATCGTGTTTTTCAATAGAATAGCATTAATTTATTAAAAAGTAAATTAAATAAGCTTGACAGGATAGATATAATAGT